GTGGCATGGCACTAAAAGTACACGCCACGGTTGGATTCACACCAGCCTCTGAAGTGGTCATGACGGGCATAGCGATGGTGATAAAAATGAGTTGGAGTCGAAGACTCTAACATCTGACCATCAAATCTTGCTCTTAAGCCTTGTAATTAGAGAGCTAACCCACCTGTAACCTTTTCGTAAAAACCGAGACTCAAACCTCTAACACCTTGAAATACTGTGACTTTCGAAACAAAGTAGCTAAGGTTCATATGGATACTGCAACAAATAAAAAAAAATTGTCCATCCTCTAATGAGATCCAAGGGTTTGTAGCCACAGGGCAAAAGTGGAAGTTAGCCCACACTTCGCCAACTACCAAGTCTTTATTCTATCGACGCTACCATTATAGACAAGGGGGTCAGATTTTGTGTATCCCCTTCTCAGAGTTTTGGATTTGACCTGATCTCTCGCTATCTCCCACGTGGACCCACAAACAGCTAAGTTGGAGGTCGATATAGATGTTCTTTCACGCTTCCGCTATTACCTTGATCAGGAATTAGATTCAAAAGACAACGACAATGGAATCGGACACATCTATTTTCATCCATAGGGCAAATGGCGAAGGCAATCATTTCAGTTGATTGGCACATCTATTCAAAGATTGGTATGCTAAAATACTATCACCCAATACAGAGAAAACATAAAAATCGTTGTTCTGATCTGATCATGATATTTGATGAACTTGTGTCGTAACCATGAATACTGTAACCATGAGGTGGGTCTTCTGACTTAAGAGGATCCAAACTTCTAGTCGCCATCATTGATGCCTTTATCAGCCTCATCGTCATCAAATTTGTTTACTCCTTTCCCAGCTAAAATCTATACAAAACAAAAAAGCAACGGTATCCCTATCAAGGCGAGAATACATAGAGAGGACAATGCAGTCAAAAGATGGTGAAACGGAATTGACATGATTACACTAAAGACCAAATTCCAAAAGGCCCGAAGTCAGACATTCAACTAGTTGTAGTGTGTGTAGCGTTGTGTTAGACCAAAAGGCCAAAGAAACGCCCATTTCTACCTAACAAATTCATCTGCACACGCAAAAAACATAAACATATCTAATGGGTGCTAAAAGGATTGTCCTCTACACAACGCCATCGTTGATATACCGATCCAGGATAGCGATTGAATTATACAGAAGGTTATGTGAATGAGTGATTGTACATGCACAGTTGGACAGTTGGTGCATAAAGGCTACCGCGCATAAGTTATGCAAGACTACCCAGTTGAGCACCCTCCCCTTTCCCTTCCCATCTCTGTCCTCCCATCATGCCCCCGCCAGTGGTGGCAACAGCAGCACCAGTCTTCCGGCGAGAGAGAGGCTGGGGAAAGCCTACTAGCTTCCGCGTATGCTGAGCTGAGTTAAACCTAGCCTGGCCCAGCTGAGCTGCATCGTATCCGGACATGTTTATTTAAAGAGCGAGAGAGGGAGGGCGAGAGGGAGGGACTGAGCAGTGGTAGGCAACCATCCGGTCGAGACTACCTGCACTCCCAAAGTAAACAGAGCGTATTTCGTTTTTTTGCGGCACTCCGTCCTCTCTCTCAAGAGTCGTGTGATGGTAGATTCAGGCCAATGCTGATGCACTCTCCCATGGGTAACATAAATCTCGCATAAAATCTGCTAGTCGATGTCTACTTCGTCTTCTTCCCCCGACAATAATGCAACCACAATCGTCTACACGAGCCTTTAACCATGCATTCGTTCGGCACGAAAACGAAAAACGCCATAATGCCACTCTTACACAACTCACCCCAAAAATAGTGAAAGAAATGAAAGTTGTTAAGAGGCGTTTAGTATTTTTAAACTACGATGCCTTTCGATCCCACAGAAAATGCGCTCGGTAGATCCTTAGTGCTTGTATGAAACGCAAATATTGTGAACCTCAAGCAACGGTGACTAGAAAACGATTTGAACTATTTAAGAGTGTCTTCATTGTCTTCGAGGTTGGGTGACAAGGTAAGTTACGCATATTTTTAACTAGGGAGAGAAAAGAACAGTGGGGATATGCTAAGACAGAGGCAAACTAACATGATCTGGCAATAATTACCCCAAACGCGATATCCATGCCGACTGATTCCACCAGAAGCTGATTCTAGTTTCATGCCGCCTATCTCCAATGATAGGGTCGAAACATCACAGTTATATCGTTTTAATTCCAGCAAAATGAAACAGTGACTGGATACATCTCTGTTCCATCGTTAAATACTCGATGTTTAGCTGGTTAAACAAGCATAGGAAGTTTACCAGAATGGATTTCTTTGCTTTAAATAATCCATGGTAGATACATTCCGACTAGAATCAATGAGTGCCAATTTAGAAAAATGAGGAGCACAATCAAGAGCCAAAGTTAAATGACAGCATAGTGTTGTGCCAGTATTTGAAGCCTGGGTCATGACAAGTGCTCTTCTACAGGAAAAAAGTACATCTTTAACTAATTACAGTGATTCAAGCCACGGTTGAAATCACTATTAGGATTTTCTACACAAAAATTAAAATAGAAGATCCAAATAGAGCAAAGTCCTGTGCTAAAATTAATCAGTGAGGGAATTGAAACACACTGTTTTGGAACTATAGTCCACAAACCAGTCGATGGGTTTACTATTACACACCGTCTGTGTGTGTGCCTACGAACGCTATAGAGCTAAATGTGTACAAGAATGAAGTTAAAAGGGGAGACCTTCCTAAACTGGCTGTGCATTCCGACACATTTCGCCATAAGGTCTAATAATCTGGCCAGGACATACGAATCGGGCAGCGCGAGTCTCTGTGCTTGCGTGTGTGGCGGCGCGTCCGTACGTGAGTGCGTACGTGCAGGCACGGCTGCCGCCGCGCAGTCGTGGGCAGACAAACACCCGTCGGGACACGCAAAGGGAGCGGAGGCGGGAGGGGGTTGGGGAAAGGTGAGGGGGCGCGACTTGGCTGAACAGGAAAGCGTGAGGGAAGGTGATGGAGAGGGGACAGCGTCAGAGGGCAGAGGAAAGGGGTGCAGTCTATGCACATAGAGGGCCGCCACTTCTGCTACCACTACTGTTGCCGACTCGACGTCGCATGCGTGTGAGGTTGTGTGCGCACGTACATGTGTATGTGCATGCATGCATGCGTGGGTGCGCATGTACGTGCATGCATGCGCCCCTCTGTGTATGAGCTGCAGAAGCAGCAGTTCACGCCGCCGCACGTCATGGTTAATCCACCACCTCCATTCCCACCACCTTCACCTACTCCTCTCAGCCCCATACCACACCACACCGTAGCGCACTCCACCGCCTCCTCACCTTCCCTCTACTCTGCGTAGAAATCACCCAGGCCAGAAAAGAGGAGCTTAATTAATATGAGGCAGCAGCAGTAGACGAGAGTGATTTCGCTAGAGGATTGTCGCGGAATCCATTCAAAATGTCTAATCAGACAATCAACATGAGACGCGCGAACAGTGAAGACAGGAGACTTCTTCCTCTCTTTCCCTCCCTCACATTCTAGCAAGCCCACATAAAAGAAACCAAAAATAGAATGCTTTAGATACAAATACCTAACTAATTCCCTATCTCGAATAGAAGATGGTTGTAAACTAATGCATGGAAATCTGATCACACTAGCCATAGAATGAGTGAACCTCGAATCACAGCTTTGATCACTTGTCACGGCTTCCTGATCTCATTTCGCTCCTCCATTCTCCTCGTTTTCTTTTCACACTCCCTCTATCTATTTGAGGTGCACCAGACACATCTGAGTCACGCCATCCACTGCCATCCCTCTTCCAAACTTTGCTCCAAACTAGAGGAGTTATTAATGGCTCTACTGAGAGCCAAAATCCAATTGGGGGAGGGGAGGTAGGAGAATTGGAGAAAGCGTGATTTCTAGCCATCAGCGCAGCGTAAGCCGATTCCAACGGCCACAGATAGACGGATCACTTTTGCCTTGGTGAGAAGCTAACTTAAAATGTTACGACGACGCGATTATCAATTGGAGAGGAATGTCTCACTGATCCTACGGTAGATCAATGTGTAGACGCTAGTGCGTGTGTGGCTCTGGTTGTTTGGAGGCTGCGCACAAACGATTTGCGACCAACTTCTCATGCTTCAAAGCCCTCGGAGCGCTAATTATGGCTTTGGGCTAGAGAAAACGGGAAGGTACCCCTCCCCTTCTCCCTTGTTCCCTCTAGCCCTCTCTCACAACTTACTGACTGCCTAATTGGTGGTGAGAGAGGGAGAGAGGGGGCAGGGGAGGTGGTGGTAAACCTTGTCCACAGTTCAGCGCGAGAAGCGACGACAACACCCATGGCCTGGCGCAAGGAAAAAAGTTGACGGTGGAGGCTATTGCGCACCAGCCAGAAGAGTCCTCTGGGGTTTTTACTCGGTTTGCGCTCGGTGGAAGGCAAGACGGGGTCTCAAGAGCAAATGTGCGAAACATCAATCGCCTAATGTTGAATATTTTGCAAAAAAATATGGACCAGGAAGGTGTTTTTGAGGAAGAAAAAGTAAAAATGCGTCACCAGATCAAACGGCATACTACAAAGGGCAGGAGAAAGTGAAGTAGTGGATTAAGGCGGCAAATTTCTCGTGCCTCGGACACGTGACATCTCTAGATTGGTGGTAAGAGAGATTTGCCACATATTCACCTCAATAAATCCATAGGTTTGGCACCTACAACATGCCACCAATTAAGTAAACTACAACATCACAACTCATGTCTGGGAATAGTTGTAAAAGATTGGTTGAGCTAGGCCTAAGATGATACGACCCTGCCTATCTCAGCTAGCAGAAAAGTGGTCATATTTTAGGAAAATATTTTGAACGAATCACAATCCACTAGCGTAAGAATACAGGAAACTGAATATCCTCAAAGCATAAGAAGGAAAAACGGCCAACACCAACAACTAAAGGATGGAAGAATTAATTGCTTACTAATCTCGCATGAATTGGAGCAAACCTCTGAGCACTCTAAGTCCACCTCTGGCCTCGAAAATTACTGGTAGGAGTAGACAAGTCTAGCCTTACCAGAGAGGAGACTGCCGAGAGAAGTTGGGGGCATTCCACAGCCGGAGCCAAGCATGGGGAGAGGCATGGGATGGGTATCTCTCTGCTCTCCCAAATCAATGGGCTCGGAGAGTGGTTGGGTGTACTTGGCGCCCAGGGCTGAGAGCGAACGAAGGTGATCTACGGCGTCACCAGTAGCTGACACAGAGGGTGGTGTAGCCTGCTGATGATGGTGCTGCTGTTGCTGCTGATGTGCCAAGTAGGGATTGGAAGAGAGCATTCTTTGGGAGGGTGAGGTGGAAGGCATGAGCTGTTCACGCTGAAGGTGATGGAACTCTGGGGAGGCGCTTCCTGGGTGCTGCTGCTGTTGTTGCTGTTGACGGTACTGTAGTGAGGTGGTGTTAGGAGAGGCGTGAAGGAACACATTGGGCGGTGCCTGCTTATAGGCCTCTTGACTGGAAGAACCATAGCTGGACTCGGACCAAGGACCCATGCCACCGAGACCACCCACAGATGGAGGATTACAGTGCATGCCGACGGAGGAGGGAGGATAATGTAGAATGGGAGAAGTGACTTGAGAACACTCAGGAACGCTTGTCTGATGAGCCAGAGGTCGGCTGGGTGGACGTTGGTTCGTTCCTCCTAACCCACCAACAAGCGGTGACATTGTGGATGCACTGGCAGCTGACGCAGGTCCTATCTGACCGTGATTTGCCCTACCGGATCCGGGAGCAAGATCTGCAGGTGATGTTGAACTAGATGCCAGTGCAGCCATAGAGGGTAGTGGAACGGGTCCATGTGAAGGTGTGGCAGCGGCTGAACTCCTTCGAGAACAGACATCCACCTCACCATTACGTTGCTCTGCTGCTTCGACCTGTGTGTAAAGGGAAGTTTCCCTCTTAGCCACGGCACCATGCCTTGCTATGCAACCGAGGTCTTCTAGCACTTCACCCAAACCATCACGACTACGTCCTTCAAAACGATGATTTGCCGCTGTGTTTATGGGGTACATGCCGAGGGGTCGCATTGATGGTCCTGAGGTTCTCGCATATGCTGTCTTCCTTAGGTCCACTGACTGTTCATCCATCGCGTCATGATCGTACTGATCCTGTTCTGGCATCTCCTCATCTACACCTAGGTTATCTAACTCCTGCTCATCATCTACCTCCGAGTCATTCAGTAACTTCTGACGTGAGTAGTTTTGGGTTCTGCGGAGCTGGGTGGATGGATCAGTGTCATCAACCCCTTCATTATACCGCCTATCATCATCCTCATCTTCCTCATTGTCCTCATCGCCTTCAACATCTTCATCCTCTTCCCCACGTCTTCCAGTGAATTGCCGAGACATGGAATAATCCATTACTTGAATTCTGAAAGCTCCACGTCCACGTCCACCACGGGAGCCAGGACCGCCCCGCCTAACCGCTCCTATATATTGACCACGAGGGGAGACGCAATCGTTGTCGTAAGCACCACCTTCACCTATGTCAGGAAGCCAGTGGACACCATCAGGACCCCGACCGCGTCCTCGACCTCTGCCTCGACCTCGACCACGACCACGCATCGAAGGGTCCTTGTTTGCATAGGCTGGTGGATGAGCATTGTGCCGAGAGACCAAGTGAACAGCCATTGCCTCGGCAATGCAAGGCTCCAGATTATAGAGGCGTTCTAAATGTGGTTGCAGCAATTGCTGTAACTTCGGTCGTCGCCCGCGCTTTCGCGGAGGAGCTGGAGCTACAAGAGGAGAGCCGGAACTGCTAGTCAGTTGGTTCTCTAACGATTCAACCATATGGAGTTCGTCAGAATTGAGACCACGACTGGAAGCAAAAACTGCGTGCACCACATGGACCGGTTGATCCTCCAAACTTCCGATTACTTCGTCGATGGCCCTATTGACATTCTCAGCCAACGCCTCACCGGTCACGAAGGGAGGAAGTAGTGAGCGAGCGTACTCACGCGCAGCCTCTGATTCGGGGGCGTTAGGATCTAACCCAGCAGTTTTTTCTAAAACTGCAAGGAGGGAGGGAAGAATGTGTGCCGTGGTGTTGTTGGGATCACCGACGAGGTTATGTTGTCCAGGAGAGGCAGAGGAAGGAGCGGAATGCGGCACGGAAGTGGAGGAGGTGGTGCGAGTTATTTGGAAGGCAGTTTTGCTCTGCCCCACCGAGGGAGAGTTTGGTGAGAAAAGTTCTAGTGACTCATCTTTGTCTATGGAACCTAGGACCCCGTTGATTTCGGATCCGGAGGCGGGTAAGATCCCGCCGCCCGCGGTGGTTTGAAGAACGGGAGGAGGGGGGAGTGGACGGTGGAGAGCGGCAAAGGGATTAGAGTCAGGTGACATCAGACCAACGGTGGTAGCAGTTGATGTTTTGGAGTGCTTTTGACGGTAGTGTTCGGTCAAAACACCTTTCTCCTGACAGGTGAAGGGGCAGAGATCACAATGGAATGGGTTTTCGCCAGTGTGCTTGTTATAATGAAGATCCAGTGAATCCTTTGTCCTGAATCGTCGCTGACATTCAGGCCATGTACAATGAAACTTCTTTTCGGAATCTATAAAGAAAAAAATTAAGTTCAGCATAGCTGTTGGTGTGGTGTTGAAGTAAATATTAAGATAATGCCTAATTGGTGCAGAATTCTAATGAATCATCTAATTGAATAAGAAAGTAGTTTGATGATTAGCAGATAGTACATTCAAAAGTGAGCTATAAGCACACAAATAACGTTAGCTAGTCAGCACGCTAGTTTTGATGCTAAAAAAATTAGTTCCGAATAAAGTCAAAGAAACATGCAATGAACGTGTCATTTTAGTTCAAAGACGGCAAAGTATCTTCGAAACTATTATTGATCTGTTTGGCGATCATGATCACTCATAGCACCACTTTATAAGGTACAAATTACTTTAGTTTCGGCCTTGAGAAACCAGCAACAACTGTTATTTGGCGAGAAATACAAGAAATGCCTAGTGTTCCAAAACTTGAGTCATAATTGAACATCTGCCATAATGAGTATACAACTTCGAACGCAATGAAAACGGCTTGCAGACAACGACCTACAGAGCCCCATTCTTGTGGAACTCTTCCACTTATCAACTTCCAACATACTAGAAAATGGGCAAATAGGTTCGAAGTGGGGATGACGCGATAGCCAACAACTCAAAGTCGATCCACAAATTCAAAAAAATATGATGCCGTACTCACCATCGTGAGTTGCAACATGGCGCTTGAGGTGAGTTTTCCGGTGGAACACGAGAAGGCACCCGTCAATCGGGCAAGGATATTGCTTGGGCTGCATATGATGAAATTCATCACGATGGTTTTTAAGGTACTTTGGAGTGCGAAACGCCCGATCACACCCTTCAACATCGCAGATGTAGGGCTTTCTGGGATTATGAATATCGGCGTGATACTTCAAACGAAGCTTTGTCTTAAAGGTGCGACCGCATTCCTCACACTGATAATTACTAATTGCACTGTGAGTCTGCTCGTGATTTCGTAACTGTAACTCATTAGGGAAATTAAGGTTGCATGAATCACAGTGATGTTTGCCATTACCAGCTTCAGCATGCGTAGAGTCAATATGCTTCAGGAGGTTTTTGCCATATTGTGTAGAATATGAACAATGTTGACATTGATGTCTTTTTATAATCTGACCCGCGTGCTTCTTAAGGTGGCTTCGAAGTGACGACCTATTAGTGTATATTGCACCGCAGAGTTCGCATTCATATTCTTCAGAGTCGCCTGCGGCCGAGTTATCACAGTTTGAGTTGACTGAGGGATGATTCTCATAATTTGTTTCTGAAAATCCCATACCTAAGGGCATGGACCGACATTGCCGTCCGTCAACAAGAGATGTTTCCATGCCACCACCGATAGATTGCACGCTATATGATAGCACAGGGTTTTTTTCAGACGGCACAGAAATGGGGATTGCATTTGCCACGGAAGGTCCGAGAGAATTTTGCATAGGGAGGGGTTCACGAAGTAGCTGGCTATGTGGCCCAGCGTCGACAGATGCAACGCGTCTATAATCGACGGCTACATCTTCATTATAGGTAGGAACACCTTGCAATATCTTATAATCCGAATAGAAAGAGCTTACCGGGATCAGTGGGAGGTTGTCCAGCATCGTAACGAAAGGAAGACGCATACTTATCCAGGTGTCGTAGCCTTTCTTTTAAAATAGGATTGTCCGCAAGTTTTCGCTCATCATCACTGGTATCCTCTTCGTCATCGTCCTCGCTTGAGGTTTCCGAATCGCTGTCAAAATCCTGCGCCTTGTTCGAGGCATGGCCGGCAAGCAAATCCACCTTGAAACCCGCACATTCTTGTTCGCTTGGGAGCAATTTTGCGTCTTCCGTGAAATTATCACCCTTAGACAGTTGAAGTGAAGTTGACATGGTGCATCACATATACACCAGTACAGTGACTTCACTACGTGTGAAAGAATATTGCAGAACCTAAAAGGCTAAAATGACACGAAGAGCGACGTAACAAATTCTCAAGGTTAGAAATTTCATAAGGCGCCACAAATTAGGATGACAAAGAATGAATTATTAAAACAAAATCTAGGTAAATGTTCGAAAAATTAAATTGCTAAAAATATTTGACTGCAATTTTTAGTTAATTTTTAAGATACCTACATGCAATGTTTTGTCTATAAGTCTGTTGAAAACCGCGCGCACAATTTCAATAATTTCACTAAAGATGGAAAAAATTAAAAACAATAAACTAATACATATATATGGATTTAAACTCAGCGATTTGGGACTTCTTGTAGGGTGGTAGAAGGCATAGGTGAAGTAGAATACATGTATTCCGAAGATGACAGAGCAAATGGGACTGAGCATGGCCTGAAGGCAAGCCCACACGTAAAAGGGCTAGACAAATCTTAAACTACCGAACCTCATGCGGTCACATCAACAAAGCATTACATCGCTCTTCTCTTCTTTTGAGCGATGTCCTTAGCACTGCCCTTGGTACACCTCCTGCGCCAGCCGTCACAACATATTCGGTACCATATGAAAACACTCACGAGCCAACTACGCCAGTCGACAGACAACACGAGACGGAGGAACCGTACCTGATGTTCTCGGCAGCTTCAACTGGATCTGTTGTTACGTTCGGTCTGACAACCAGATTCGGGGTTGCATACATACACCTCTTGACCATCAATTGCCTCCAGGAATAGACGGTGGAGCTCTGATGTAAAACATATATGTTAATAGCTTGTCTGTGGAACACGGGAATAAGGTGAAACCACATGCAGACGTCCGTCTAAATCTTTTCGTTGTGAAGGATTCAGGGATTCTCCGTCACCGAGGTAAATGCGCCGCCTTCAATTCACGTCACTTTTCGCCTTTATCTTCGTCATTTTACGCATGTATAGCTCATGATTGCCAATGCACAACACCAACATGGGCTTATTAATCTTGGATTGCTCCACTAAAAATCAAAATCCCTTTGTAGTCTTGTTTGCTGGTTGAATTGTAGCCTTCATGTCGTGAAAACCCGATTTTTTTCGAATCAATGCACCGTCCGATCGAACCGTTGCTCGTCGGCCTATTCGTAATGTTTTTTCGGAAACCAGTTGATTAATTAGCAAATTTTGGCAATGCAAACGTAGGATGCCAGTGAATCAGCGGTGTCCATTGAGCAATGATTTTCCCGGACACATTGTCGCTTTAATCAAATGACTAGCGAAGAACAAGCCGCAGAGGGAGACCTCACCTGGACTGCAGCGGGTCTTCAAAAGCACCATAGACCTAAAAGTCGTTAAAAAATATCGGGTTCGCTTTCCGCTGCCACCAGTGTAGCGTCCCGAGGCTTCCCATAGGCTGGTAGTAGACATAAGTGGGGTTAAATACATGTATTCCAAAAACGACAGGGCAAATGGAGCCTGAGGGTGACCCATAGGCCAGCCCACGTGAACAGAGGCCAGAAAAATTCTTAAGTGACCACCATACGTCAGGCAGTCACATAAACAAAGCATTACATTAAAAAGTGTGATTTATTGCTCTTTTCTTCCCACTCTCTTTATCCTTCTCATTTTCTTAAAGGAATGTTATTTTATGGCATGTCATCAGGCACTACAGGAGAGGTACAAACAAATGGGGTTATAGGCACACCACATAAGGGGCGTTCAGGCACTTCTCATCGGGTAGAAGAAGGCATTAAGTTGGGCTGAATACTTGCATTTTAGAGGGAACAAATTTATTAAGCCCAAGCTTGGCCCAAGGGTTAACCCATGCGTACAAGGGCGTGTCGAGTCTTAAAGTAACCGCTAGACATTAGGTGGTTATATAAGCAAAGTACTATAACGTGTACCCAAAATATTCGAGGGAAAGTTCCTTGCGCTTCCACATGCACAGCGTTCGGATTAAATAGGTGCCTCATCTTTACGAGGCACAATTTGAATCACCAATATATGGTACAGGGTGTTAACATTATAATGGATCCTTGTATATTATCGCAAAATCAACAATTTAGCGCTTCGTGCTTTTAATCACAGACATAGTTTAACGTCTTTGTATACCGCGTGTGACTACCTGAGGCCTAGCGACTACTCTGGTATTCGACTTGATTTTGTACGCGTGGGCTTGCTTTCGGATAAAGTTAAGGTCCGATCCCTTTTTCTTTTAGATGCATGCATTCGACCCAACTTAATACCTTCTGCATTTAGAAAGATGATGAGGATGGGTCCTATGCCCATTCCACACAGCCAAAAGCATGGTGAATTCCAAACTAAGCACCAATCGCTGGGTAGTCGAATAAATAATGCGCTACACTAAGTTAATAACAGTATTTAGAGGGGCTATGCGCTAGCAGTTTATTCTTAAGGCCAGTGGAAACAGGATTTTTGAGTTTTTTTTTTGCGTTTGATTAGCGAGCTTGACGCTAGGTCCATAATAAAAGCCTTAAATAATGCAAAGGCTCCAATTTGATGCCTATTTCTTGTTTTCATTTGTTTGTCGCACTCTATCATGTAAATGCTAACGGCTAGTTCATCCGCTGCGAAACTTGGAAATAACATTACTTTGTCTTTTCCTTTGTTTGCATGTCTAATCATTGAATTGGTAACAGAGTAAGGAATTAGGGATAGACACAAATGTTGGGTTATTGTTTCAATTCAAACAAATCTTGGTAGTGTAAGTGTCACCAAGTCAGACAAAGTAACCAATTGATTCACAGTCTCCCTCACCATTTGACTTCCGGTTGAACTCATTAACATAGAGTGGGCGCATGACAACCATTGGGAATAAGAACTCCAGCAGTACACTTGTTACCCATAAGAGGATGTTCACTCACGACCGCATTGAGCCATCAAGCGTAGTTTTAGCCCATTTGTAAGGCTTCGCACCTTTGGCTGCTAATCGTCACTGCTCTTCCTACATCTATCTACCTATTTAACAACCGGTAGATAAATGGAGGTTCCATACAACTGCATGGAAATAGAAAGGGAGGAGGCAGAGGGGAAGGAGGAAGGGTAGGTTTGGTGCATTCATTTTAGTGACATATTCGAACAACTAATTTTAAACTTCTTACGGAATGCACATGACCACGACTGGAGTAGCTGAAGCTCCCAATAATGCTGGTAAATGGACATCATTTCAAGCCAACCTGTGGGTGTAATCATTGATTCTCCTCCATCCCTAGCACATGCCTTTATCTCCTCTTTTTGAGGTTAAGGTAATTTGGAGTGGGATTATTTTTCCTTTGCTACCAAGGTGGCACCTTAGTAATCCTCCTAAAAAGAAGAGATTTGATGCTAAGGTCCAGGGACAGGCCATGGCATCCAGCGGTAGTAAGGAAACGGGTCTGTGAGTGGCTGTGGACTAAAATAAGCGGGTAAAATTGCCAACACCAGCGCTGCAGTACTTTCAAGTATGCAAAAAATGTACTTATTTTAGTCTATTTAAAAAATATGTTCATAATTTGTAACCTCAATATCATCATCCTCCTCCGTCTTCTTCCAGACTGTTTTCTTAGAGGTTATTTCACTTACAGGATAGACGATACAAAGAACAGTGTGGCAGAAAAAGGAGAAGAAGGCGCTTACTCCGATCCAAAAGTCGAGTTAGCTGGCTTCTCGAGAAAGCATTCGAGTTGAATTTCCGCCTCACACCTGCAAGGCACATTTAAAACGACAAACTTTTGCTATAATGATAACGTTCTTATGCATGTAAGTGCGTTCATGTCTCTATGACACTGGTCAACGAGGTTCTACTATGTGTGGTGGGGAGGTTTAACCGAATATCTACTTACTTGGAGTAGCGATATCAATGTGGGGAATCTAACAGCCGCGTTTGTGGAATGACTACTCACCATTAAAATTCGTTGGCACGATGCGACAAAAATTGATTTGTGGCTGTCGAAAGTGAACGATTTGACACCTGAAGTGCATTTGCAATAGGCAGGCAGAGTTGAGTCAGTCGAGTGAGAAGGCGACAATTGCTAATGGATGCCAATAAAACTGTACTTTACAATGGAGGTGAGTAGGCGAATGTAACGTCGAAGCCTTTTGTTAGATCGGAATGGACTAATCAAGTGTCAATTTTAAGCTGGATGTGGCCGGACACCTTTTGTACACCTTAACATAGGCTAGAGCTACGTAAAGAGAAAAAAGCGTAACAATTTTTTTGCTGTAACATAGAGAATAGTACAACAACAGTTCCGACTATGTAGGCAAGAAATCTTACACGCAAGTATCCCTTTCCTTTAAAGTAGGAGCATTTGTTTCAGCATTCATTTTCCATTTCACTGCCACAGCAATAACAGAGGCCAACAAAATCCGGATTATTAATGTGCGGTTGATTCTACGATTAAGCGCTGAATGTGTCCCTTTATCTGAGGGCAGCTTAACATTTGTCCTATGTTCCAAAAGCGGTAAAAGGCTTAAAACCTACAATTGACAAAGTCCTGCTTCATAATTGCATGTCTAACATTTGCGGTCTGCTTAACGATAAGCTACTGCTACGGGAGGCTGAATAATGGCGATCACGTGCTCACTTTAGTAAGGTGTAGTCGGAGCCTTTGATAGCAACTGATTGCACATTGTCACTTCATTGTTAGCCTCAGCAACTACCGCTTTATGGCCATTGTTGACTGAGCAGCAGTGGAAGTTGATCTAATAAATGAACTTATCTCACCTTAGACATTCTAAGCTCAAGCCCACAATTAATGTCACATGTAGGCAAAAGAAATAAAACTTTTAGTTACCAAATAGGGAGGCACCAGCCTCGGCGCGGGCAATTTGGTTGGCTTGTCATGCAAAACAGGCTGGCTTACAGACTGAGAGAATTCCCAAGAGGGTGACATGATTACAGTGGCAGATCGAGAGTACCACCCCAAATGCAGTAGAGTGGATGATACAACGCCTTGCCGCGTTTTCTGTAACTCTGATGCAGATGCCTGGACCAATGGCAAAGGTACGATCATGAACCTCACCATCGACTGTAGATACCTTTCGACCCTTCATGTTGCAATGACGTCTCCATGGGTTGGGTTCACACCCTTCTCAAAGCAAAGACGCACCATACCCAGAGACTTGCTATACAGCTTAGGTAATTTAACCAACATCAGAATTCATGTGATCCAACAAGTTATGATTAAATCAATTTGATTTATTCACTTTAAGTGAGGTAGCGAAAACTTGAAATTATATATGGAACGTTGAAAGCTGCTTGCCTGACTTTGAGTTCAAAATCTAATCGTCAAAAAACATTGTTCGTTTGTTTGTCTCCCTAGTCATCCCTCACTATGATTTTATTCCACCAATTCCCTTTCTCGTCCTTAGATGCCTTAACCCGAAAGACATGATGTAGGTACTCAGAACAGGTAGGAGAGGCATAGGATAAGGTGAAAAGATGAAATACCTTTGACTTCAATGTGCAATGGTGAGAATGAATTTTAACTTGGTCTTGAGCAAAACACAAATGACAGAAGTTTTCTCCAATTTTGAGGTAAGCGGTAATACATCATAGAAGGTCAAAACGCGTTTGCTTCAAAATAATGCGGTCTAAAACGAATGTAAATGCCAAAGGAGCACGTCTTGACTGATAAAATGCCAGGTCAGATGATAGGCAGGCGGACTGATGTGATGGGTCCTGTCGGCGGATGGACGAAGGCAATTCTCGGATCGCAAGATTTTTCGGAGAGACAAGAGGCACTAGCTTTAGAGACTTTAGCTCAATCAAAGATGTAAAATCATGGATACCGAGGACACAGTTTCTAGATAAGCTCCATGACGCAAGCATGCAAAAGGTACCACCCTTCTTACGAGAAGTTGGCTGCAACAAAGCCTGTGAGACGATAGACTGCATGGATTGATTGAAGAACAGGGGGGAATTGCAAGTGTTGCCTTCTATAAAAGTGTGATACGAGTTGCGGGTCACTTTTACTTCTAAAGTAACGTTTGGTGAAAGTTGATGAATTACTTTAGTCTCGTTTTCTTCTCGCCAGGACACCTCATTATCTCTACTTGCGAAGGTGTGTATTCGGTGGGTCACTGAATGCAGTCATCGTAATACCTTAAGGATTGTGTGTGGCTTGGGTCCGACAACGCTTTTCACATCATACTTTTATCTTAACAATTGCTTCTCCTTATTTCTGGTTTTATTCGCAGAGTTATAAACACTTTGCTCATTACTTACATCACTTGTGTCAACACATTTTTTGGGCGTCGGTATCTTTCACTAGGTACCACGTATGCCATACCGCTTAACCACTGACACAACCAAGGCTGGTCTGCCTCATACTAGAGGAAGGCTCGACTCCTGACCTCGTCACAGTCAATGTCGTCCTCGTTCCACCACCTACGTTACCATCTTAGCCACACTACTGACATTTGAGTAAATGTGGCTTCCTATTGAGTCAATCAGCACACAATTTGGTCCTAAACTTGGCATTTTAATGAGGTGCCGTAACGACACTGAAGACCAACTTTGTAACTACAACGCGATTAAGACACAGCCGAGTGGCTGGATTTTTTTTTAAAAGTTAAGGTTTGGTAAGCGCTTCGAGATCGTTTAATGGCACCTAAAGTCATAAAAATTACATAAAATTCGAAGAACCGTAGCACATTTACAGTGAGTTTAGTGATTTAACAACGCAGGACATGAGGTACTTTGCAGTAGAAGGTGGTGATGGGCCCATTTAAATACTCTGACAATGCAGTTTTGGAATGCACTCAGTTTTGAGGCTTGATGACCTGAGGCTCTTTACGGGAACAAAGTCGGCACTTTCAGAGGCAAAGCTTTTCTATGATGAAGTTATTTGTGCCCTATAAGAAAGTCCCTATTCCGATTGCTTATAATCGTTTATTTTTCTCTCTACGGCCTTAAGAGTCTCTAAGAAGAGGCCAAACCTCATACGCTATCCGACCATTTCAAACCGGCTATGCCACCAAAATATCTTTGAACACCTTAGATGTGAGCGAAAATGAGGCTCTTCTGTTCCCATATTACACGCGCAATGCAAACATCTTACCTCAGGCTCACTCAAGTCTGCTCACATTCGAGCAATCAATTTGAAGGATTTGCTACAAATAGGAATCTACTGCTGTCGCTTAAACTTCCTATCGTTAATAAAGGACATTGGTGTCAACGCAGACATGGGGGTGAATTGGGATAAAGACTTTAAGAGTGGTCGACTCCTGCAAAAGAAGTGCCACCTTGCAATGTGACAAATGCGCTCGTGTAAAGATTGCAATTGATAATACGAGTGCTTCGCAGTCACTTGGTCGCAATATTCCTTTGAAGATCTCAACATGATTAATGGAGTCCAAATATTTAAGGTTTAGATTCGTAAAATACACATCCTAAACCAGCCAATTCAAGATTGAGAAGCAAATGGACTGGAGTTTCAAAGCACTGCCTACGCAAAGCCAATTTTAAGTCATCTTAATAGTGATTTGGATGAAGCGAGCTTTTGCTCTCTTATTCCACTTACAAATGGATGATCATCTTTGTGAGCATCGGAAGCCTGAGACACATAAGTTGAAACCAAACCTCTGGAGTCTCAAAGGAAGTGGTATCGACTGAGATATTTTTCCGCATCCCTTTATATAACAAGATCCATCTTGATCTGCTGTATAGAAAAAGAAAAAAACCACTAAACAGACACCTTGTTGAGGAGTTTATTCAGAGGAGAAACGTTTGGTTCAATCTTGTGCGTGTTGGATAACTTTGATCTTGGAAAATAAAAAAAACCTGTCAAATGATCAGGGTATGGGTAAAATTTCGCACCAATAAAATTCAACATCAAAGTGGGTAAGGGTGAGAAAAGGTGCGAAAGATGACGGAGGTATTGGGTGTTAAATTGGAACACCAAAAGGGAGCACATAATGCAGAAAATTTTTATTGTTTCCATGATGTGTAGAATTCGTGCACATGCAAACATTTGGAGTTGATTTGCTAAAGATTCAAATTTCAACGGATGCGTTTCATGCAGGCTATAGATTTGAAGAGGATAACGGTGGGTGGGATGAAGAGCAGCACAGCAATGGCCAGACCACAACCATTGCCTATTGTTGGCGAAGGTATGAGGAGGGCGTATTGAAGGCATGAAAATACACCAGCAAGGGAGCCACCAATGCCATAGAGAGTGCCAAACTGAGCAATTGGAAAGGCAGCCATGATTGAAGAGGAGAAAGTGCTAAACAGGAAGCCACGCATGAGTACAAGGAAAAAGAAGTTGACATAATAGACTTCTTCTTTGCCCACAAAGACCAGACAGCTAACTATCAAGGAGAAAGTAGCCATTATGTACATGGAAAAGGCCATAGGTCGTAATTTGATCCACAATAAGGCATAAGAGCGTTCAATCGAGTCTTCCAAACTGAGAACATTGGCAATTTTTGGACGGTAAATAGCCCGCAGCTTGTCAATAACAGTACCGCATAGGAGGCCAGCTAAGATGCCACCTGCGAGGCTAAAGGAGAGGGTGCTTGCAATGCGATTTGTAATATTGGAATCGTTAAAGTGAGCATTGGCAGCAGGAGTAAGTTCTCCTAGGAAGAAGGTAAACCTCAAAAGCGCAAGAGCAAAAAACAGTGTACACACAAAAAAAGGCAGAGATTTGAGTGATTTTCGACGCGTTTCAAAGAGTTCGGACAGAACAGCATCTGCTGCAGCATCGAGCGAAGGTTCACTTTTTGCCTCCTCACTCTCCGCATCATATTCTTCCAAGCTTTTCACCTAAAAAAATGTGGATAAAACAATCCGTGGACTATTAATAATTAGATAAATCCTTGGAAAAGGCATCAGCTAACCTCTCGTTCCTTTTCCCGAAAAGTTTCTATGTCATCTTCTGCATAAATGTCGATAGAACTGACTTCGTCCTTATACTTTCCCATATCCGGAAGCCAGTATGAGTAGATGAAGCACGCACTAAACACACCCATAGCAAGGCCACAACAGGCAAGGATTAGAAAAGTAGTTTTTAGAGGGATTCCAGCCTTATAAGTCAGGTTTACAACCGCAAAAAGAGCCGAGGAGGCATCATAGGAGCCTGTTATGAAAGCGAGAACAATCACAGCAGTCTTTGTAAAGAGCTGATTGACGCTAAATGAGCAGACCATCATGCCCATTCCACCAACTGCCGCAAATGTTCCTCCAACAAAGATTAGTGGTGATGTAGATGGAGTAACGAAGCCAAACATAAGCATCCCAACAAAGTACAATAGTGTTGATATAAGCTTGACAACACGAAGACCAATGTAATCAATTAGAGTACCAACAACAATTAACATGACCATCATAACAACGGAGTATGTTGTTAGCGCGTTGGCGTACATGTTAATTTGTTTATCACAGCCAAGATTAGCAGTGTTTTGGGGGCAAAGGTTACCAAAAATGCCTTCGTTTTGAAGGACAGGAAAAAGAGCATTCATCCCATAAAAAATGCCCCCAAAGAAAATCATTTCTGTGACCCCAAAAATCACACCTAACACACGGCGGAGTTTGAAGGGCATACATTTGTCTAACTTGACGCCTAAAATTAAGAGATTATAGCATAAAATAAACTTAAGTAAATACTACAGATACAATCATATACACAGGTGGTCTTCAGTTATATGCATGCTAGCATTAAATTATCAAGTATCCTAATCCGTAAAAAGATGCAATTAATAAATTTAAATTATTTCAGGGAAAAAAGCAAAGAAGGAAATAAAAAGTGCCTACTCACAAACTCCCCACATTACTCCACTTGAAAATTTGGTAAGACAAGGTTGAGATAAAAACCATCCTATTTATATCATACAAACAAGACCGAAGAGATAAACAGGCAATATAAATGTATGGCTAATGAAGATTACACATAATATTAAGGTATCACTGATTTATGTTTTATAGAAGTTCTATTATTAGGAACGTAATTTTGCCGCACTTAAAATGTGCTTCTGTTAAGTAGTAGTTCAATTCTCTCTTACTGTTAATTGGCTACTACTTTCATTCGATCTAAAACAGGATACAAATATTTCTGTATTATCCTTTGAGATGCTAAAGATAAAATCGTAACCAAGTACTTTCAATTTTTTCAATGACTAAGACATTAAAAGCCTCATAAATCAGATGTTCGAAGAAACAAATATGCTTCATCATGTTTCGATCTCCAAAAAAGGTTATGCATGTTGCGTCTTGAGAATTCCTATTTGATAAGAGAAGGCACAATGTCTAGCTAACTACTCGTATTTGGACAGAAATGGTGGAGCTGTAGCCTTGAAACGACTTGAAGTTAAACCCACCCGGTAGAAGTAAGATGATCGTCACTGACACCAAAACTCATTCAGACAGTCGTCAGAACAAAGTATAAAAATGCGGTCCTATAATTTGATCAATTTCTCTTAATAAAGATGTAGGGAAGGTTCCAGACATGTGGATGGTCCTCTAGCCCAGCTCCTCAAAATGGCCGCTGCGCATCGCAAAAAATAACAGACGTAATGGGACCTTTTCGGGTTGGAAAGGTACTTGACGGCAGCGTCACTAATGCTGTTTGGCAACTTCGTGAAATGTGAAGTTATTTCTCGAATATGAAGTAGCTTGAAGCAGAGTCAATTAACAAAAGGTTAAACTGAATTAGGATTCACATCTTCACGACCCTCTCATCCTGGCTTTACCCAGCTACAACAAAATGTGTTCTATCTGAATACTAGAGTGCAGCGAATATAATTAGAATCCATAATTCCTCATGGACACAGCTTCGTATCGAATTATTCCGTATTCTTCGTGGGTATCGTCAATTCAGTTTGTGGCATGTAACAGAGGGGAGGAAAATTACAAAGGTTGATGCCATTGTTGCTCCTTTTGCTTAAGGTTGCCGTTGGAAATGTCATCCATGGCAGTACTCCCTCCCTTACTCCGTTGAGACTTAATTAAGCTGTACTAAGTAGGGAGGTGTTCTTGAGGATTGAGTCTGTTGTTTCGAGTTATGGACTTCCTCAAAGTCGAAAGACGGCATGCAACTAGTGCGACACATGTGGTGGTGGCGTACAACGGAACTTAGCGGCATAGATTGAAAGTCAGTAAACCTTAACTAGAATTGAGGGCAAGCATACAGGTAATGCATTACAAGCACTTCACTATACAAGCGTGATGTTTTTGACTTGCTCTTTGTAGCTTATACCTCAGTTAAGAGAATAAGATAGTTCAACCAGGTCTAGCAGGCATTGATAAATGCTGCACCTATTCGGGATCTCAAACGGTACAAAACCACCATGGTTAACAAAGTCACCCATTCGAATCCCCTTCCAGTTAATCTTAACTACTGCCATCTGCTCTATGCTTTTTCTGACCACTCATGGTCCCTGAAATCAAACACACTGCACTTCCAGCTACGATGCGAATAGCCCAAGGCAGGCAAGCTCTAGTACATACGCCTCATGGACTGCTGTCCCCACATACCGTACACATCTCATCGCCTTACATTAAGGGTTGAGAGGCGGATTGGTCGTGCCCAGTAACAAGTAAATTATGATACTGAGGACTCTGTTCGCACTTTACAGGCCAGTACCAAAACATTCATAGCTTCCTGACACAGACAGCACCGCCAGACTGCGCATTAGAATGCAACAGCGCATTCCCATTAGGCCCCCAAGTCTCCCAATCTTCACTGATTTCGACATTATCTCGAGCCGAATTAAGATGGATCATAACTCCCTACCGTGATTCAAGGCGTAGACACTCAAATATTCACTAGTCTCGATTGAGCCTTACCCAATAAGATAAGTGTAGCTTACAGTCATGACTGAAGAATGCACACACTACTCGAGGATTTTCTCTATCCACTAATTCAAATAATGTGGAACCTAAACGTAAAGTATAAACAAAATTATTCCCACGTCAGAACAAACAAACAAGCCAAGTGAAAGGGTGACAGGGCCTGAGGCTCAAGTTTGCAGACGGAAATCAAACTAAAATTGTAGACACTTTACGAGGCAGCGGATAGAAATCATTACGCTATTTCAACCTAAATGGGGAGGAGAGCGTGTACCGATAAAAAGCATCGACTAAAATAGCTGTAATGCGGAATGTAGCTATGATGACGGATTGGAAACAAGTCATCATTATGAACAGCTTTTTACACAAACGGCGCAGTAGGTGGAACAACTAGAGCCGACTGCCAGTGGAAAGACGAGGGTTAGAGAAAGTAAGGCGTAACTCGTGCAGGCGGAACAACGCGTTCTGTGTCTGGAACAGCAGCGAACTCTTTGAAGGTGTACTCCGTAGGCGTTTGTATGTCAAGTACAGAAGCGATATTGCCGCATCGGTAACAATAGTTCGGCGCTGACCACACTGTTATCAGCTTTCCATCAAACATCGATTTGTGACCCTCCAGAACCAGTTGATGTGCCCGACATATGAAGTCTAAACCATTTAAGGCCACAAATTTTTCTGTTATCTAAAAGGAAGCACGATACGATAAATAATGACTCAGTTGTGAGGCTGTTTACCAAAAATGCAGAAATATTGGAAGGGTCATCGTCAGCTAGACATTAATTTATGGAAAAGAGAACCAGATAAGCTCGTGCAAAAAGATCAATAAAACTCCACCGTCCTCTCCCAAAAGACCAACACACGTACTGTAAAATTACAATTTGAACCAAAAGATGAACTACTCTCCGACTCATTAAACTCAACCGCTCAAAGTGTAAAGTAATTAAGTGCAGTTAACTGGCCAGATGATGAAGGGCATGTGCCACATTTATGAACACAGGCAGTCATAAAACTGGCAACAAGCTCATTGAGCATAAGTAGACAGAAGTAAACATACTTCTTCGCCGAACAAAAATCCAGCACCACGTGGACTAACCGTCCATGTGGAGACGTTGTCAGGATCCGACCAAAGTAGGTCGCTCAAAGGACCACTATGTGGTATCTCCACGTTTCTATCAATTATCCTGATCTGGTCAATCGTCTTGGTTTCTGGAGAAAGACCCCCATGAACACAAAGGATAGTTTCGTCGATGAGAGCTGCTATCGTGAGGAGGTCGAAGACTTTACAACAATTTTTCCAGGGAGTGGCGTTACCATATTTGGTTATGCACTCATCGTAAAATCCATAAACCTACATAAACACGATTAAGCAAAGAAAATCAAGGTGTCTCAACCTAATACTAAAAATACTGGCAGTACCTGTGTTATTTGACGGCTCTCATGATTTCCACGAAGGAGCGTGATTTTGTCAGGATACCTAGCCTTAAGGGCCATAAGAAGAGTAAATGTTTCGAGACTGTAATACCCACGATCCACAAAATCCCCCATGAAAATGTAATTGGTAGAGGGGAGTTCCCCTCCCACTTGGAAAAGTTTCAGCAAATCATAGAACTGACCATGAATGTCACCACAGACGGTGACAGGCGTCGAGACAGGCTGTACGTTACATTCCTCAATCAACAAATCGCTGACGTAATCACAGAGTTTGCTGAGCTCATATTCTGGGAGATACTTACACGTTCGAATAGTCCCTATCCATTCGTCAAGTGGTTCAGCCAACATTATGCCACCAGTAGGAACCAGCTGGGCAGCAAAACAAGGGGACCACTAGGAATTCAAAAGCTCGCCTACTAGACGGAAACACAAAAAGCATTACTTCGACAAGTCGAGGAAAGACAGGGAAGAAATAAGGATATTTTTGAAACAAAGCGCATATCACATTTTTAGGATTTTAGCGCTAACGCATAATTGAGGATATCTCTGAAAAGATACGGATAGAGCCTCATGTAAGTGGAATCGCAATCTTACTGTATACATATTTTTCCTATTTTCACTCAATTTATGCGTCTAAAATTCAAACGTCAAATAATTTTTAGCATTGCTTTGGGCACAAACTCTTGCGACTAAAATTCGTTTCACCATTGTTCCACCAGACACCCTTTCGTGCCATGATTTTGCTTCGGTGCTCATCAACCATGGCGAATGAAGTATGTTGGATGCCATTACCGAGCTACGATGATTGCAACTCGAGTGCCATTGCAATCCCACATCTTGTCCGCCTGCCCATTTCTAACTCATTAATTCGGCACCTGCCTGGAATCACCACAAAGAGTATAAAGTCTGATGTCGCATTTAGTATCACTCCCAAATAATGAGATGAGTTTTGCCAAATGTAAAAACCGTCTGTCTTTGTTCCCAAAAGGATGCTCTATCTCACATCCAACGGTTTAAATCCTCAGCAGATCTCCTTGTTCACTGAAAGCAACTCTCCTCCATAGCATCAAGATCTAGTACCCCGTCAAAAGATTACGATATCGATGCTTTCGAGCCCAATTTCGTGTGTCCCTGCCTGAGTGACGTCCCAATGAAGTCGAATGAGGACTCAAAGCAAACCAGGACAACCCTGATAAATGCTACATAAAAGGACAGGGAGGTCATTCGGACAGCCAAGGACCACGATGAAGAGCAATTACACAAAGTGCAGAGATCGAAGCGTAGACCAATTGTTCTATCCTCGCACGTGCTTAAGTTCAATTTTAGCAATTCTGCTCAACAAACTGCCCTCCCCTATTTATGCCACTTTCTCCAATATTAATGACGCATTTCCCAGCTCTCAGTGAGGTTAATAATGGTTTGCATTAGCAAGGCAGGTTTATCAGTAATGTTCGAAGGGGGACGCTAGCGATTACATGGACAAGTGGAAAAAAACAAATGAAAATACTTGAAGAACCCAGATAGATGTACAATTAAACAAAGCATTGGATAACTAGTTGAGAAGAGCTAGTTACCAAAGACAGAATTATCTAAGACGACCAGGACTAAAAATTCTGAATCCGCGCGTCATCAATCTTTGGGAAACGCTACGCCGTGTTGGGATCAGTTGATTGGTAGTAGCAATAACAGTGCATCATATGACATTCCATGTGAGGTCAAAAAATACATATTAAAAACAACTCCTCCTAATGTTTTGAGTTTTCAACATAACTCCTAAGTTCCGCAATAGCCTTGTTAAAAAACTGCGACAGCGCTGTGACCCTGTTCGCCAAATCCTCGGTGCGCTGCACACCAGACGGCAACCGGGAAAAGAACCGATCCGGATGCCAGTCTACCTGCAATTGCCTCAGATGCAACAAACTACGTCCTACGAATCGTAGCAACTCCTCCATGTCCCCCACTTTAAGTGGTGGCCAAGGAATAGTCCCGTTCGTGCCACTGCGCAGAAATGTTTGCCATCTCTCCGAATACTGCTCATATGGAATAACAGAGACGTCTGACTTGGAAGTAGGAGATACCAAACCCAACTTTCTGAGTTCCTCTGCATGTCGGTGTCGAAATTCTTCGTCGCTCGTTGAGGCTTTTTTGTATGTAGTACTGGCAGAGGGTTGGCTTGATTCAGACCGCGATATGTACACGCACCTACGCTTCTTTTGTTCGTACTCCTTACCAATGTCCTCGAAGAAGTCGCCTGAAGATGTGCCAGTGTCGGAAAAACCTGAAAAGAGAATCCTAAACTAGATGTCTACTCTTTAAAAGTGGGTAGTGGACAATTAGTACAATAAACGAAGTAGAGATGCTTAATTGGTAATCTATGTACCAACCCGCAAAGTCTGAAGCGGTGAATTATCAAAGAAAACATATTTGAAGAATACAAAGTCTATTGGGATACATGTGAGCATCGACAACTGCTTTAATTGCGAAATAAGCTAGAATGGGTGCCATGGGGTAAGAAGTAAGCAAATATTTTTGTTTTGTATGCGTGGGTTTATCTGTTTCCTTTTTAGCGCATGAAAGCGCCTGCCAACAGTGGTAAACTAAACAGTAAAGAGCATTTTTGAGAGAGGAGAATCTGACACCTGAAAGGGTAACATCAAAGCTCCGGTTAAAAAAAAAGTTTCTGGTCGTCAAGATCAGTGAAATGGGGGGCGACAATTCCGTAGCAAGAATGCGAAACTGTACAATACAGGTAAGGTATTTTATTCGACGGCGGATAATTATTTCAGAAGAATGAAAGGTATAAAAACAAAAAAACAAAAAAAACTGTGTAAATAAGACCATGCGAGGCGCTGCTATACGAAACATGAGGAAAACAATGGCACCAAAGAAGTGGACAATGGTCGGGTAGTTGCATTATCATTATTTGGAGAGTTAAATTGGTACAACAGTCGACAAACAAAGGGGCGTAGGAATTGATACACTGACCACACAAGACCACATTATGGCATGATTTAAAGCACCCATCCATGGCTAAAAAAGGCATCCCAAGCTAGTCAGTGAGTCAATTAAAATAGATTTGACAGTTTTTTTTACATGAACATCCGAAAATGCGCGGTTTTATTAACCTTTTACTGGTACCAACACGTGGGCCATCGAAATGACTGATCCATCTTCCTCTGGTCAAAAATTAACAATAGCAACGCTACACATATACTCTGACGCCTTAAATTAAACCAATCTGACACAACTATTCTTCGCGCATTTGTGGCACCAAGCTGAAGGTAAGAAAATTGGAGCTTTGAACGCATGTGAAATGGATGAGGCAGACTCAATCACAGGCCGATGAAAGAATCGTCCTGTGACTAAAGCATTGCGCTTTCAACTGCGTAGTCGGGATAGGGGGAGGCTAGGTCAAGTGCGTACGTGTGCTTACACACGGACGGTGGCATCCCATTGGCGTAGGCTCACCCTCAGCATGTGACAGTGAGGTCAGCAGCTGCGAAATGCCGCAATAGATCATGAAGGATGTCTTCTTGCCAGCGTTACATTCAACACTAGCACTTCTTCCTTAGGGGAGCAATGAAGACCACGACATGACACCAGTAAGGCTTCCGACTGGCATAAGTTAAGTCTGTTAAAATTGAAATAGATTTTGGAGGGTGTAGTACAAACAGCACCTATTACGGAAGTCCATAACATAAGCTGCGCATGGGTGCAAACAAGTGGCCATAGCTCATGCGACGTAAGAAATGCTTCACGAAACCTTAAAAATAACATCATTTCGAATCATCAGAACTATATGCCTACCTATTATGCGATACAGTCGAGCTCATTTAAATAATACAATGGCGTCTAGGTGGATAATCATAAAAACATTGGTTCTGAAAGACGAGAATTTCAAGGAGATTATATGGGCAGCGATTCCAAATAGGGTTTATGAGACTTTCATTGAGAATAGCAACGAATGTTAGTGTTGATATCAATCGACTTTCACAATTGAGAAATAGAATGAACACAAATTAAAAAGTCACAACTCTTTTTGCACTTATTCTAGAAGGCTAAGCCACTTCAATCAAATTATACGAATTTTTGAGAATTGTGATAATTCCTGCCGACTCTTTGCTCCGAATGCAAAACAGTCAAGATCGGTGGGCTATCTGGTTACCGAAACTGATTCGCTCTGGGTGGGATTCGCTCTGAGAAAACACCATCTCACTCAAAGAGCCGACAAAAACGACTCCCAGTTTTGAAAGAGAGATTCAAAATGAGGTGTGACGATGCTTATCCGTATTACGCTGCCCGAAATAATAGAAGTTTACATTCCTTTCGGTAAAATGTCTCACTAAAAACATTTTTTTGCGAATTTACATTTTTTTTGTGGGAGACGATTATTGCGCCCATCTTTAAAGTAGGCGAAGTTATTTAAACGCAAAAAAAATAGTATATTGACACCAAGTAGTAAAAAAGGTAATCAATCTGATACCTTTCATGATTTCAGTGGACCATGCGACGACGCCACGAAATCGTTTTCTAGCTAATTATCCAAGTTACTAAGAGGTAGAGTGGAGATGGTTTGAGCAAATACATATATAGTAAAAAGAGTTTAAGATTACCTTGAAAATACTCCTCATGGCGAGGAAAGTCGGCACTCACTTCATCGAGCAATCGCTCCCGCCATGCATCCTCCGAGATGGCGTCGTTGTATCTCCTCTTTGGAGGAGCAACTTTTCCAAACAGGTCGTCTTTCAGGCTGCATTGCATCAGAATCTGCACATAAGAGAGATGCTGGAGTCAAATCGCGACATTTAGTTATGCAGGTGCACAGTCAGTCAGCACCCACGTCACTGACTTGACTGTCGTTTTGACGTGTACTATACTGTCAGTCAGCATAGCACACGTCATCAGTTAGGAGGCTGGTAGCAGCCAGTTAGCAGTGAGTGCTTGCAATCAACAGGATATGGAGATGAGGTAGGTCTGATGAAAACGAAGGCGTCTAACTTCAATTTGCGGCTATTCACTACACTAATGTATGGTTACGGAAAAGTCTGGAGTAAGGCGAATACAGCTTTCCATTTTCTAATCAAATGTTAAAGATCGCTCTGATAGGATATAACAGAATTTACTAAGTCAGGATAATGCGTACAAGTTACCAAAAGAGCACCGCAGACACCAGTGTTTCAATACTGCTGACGATGAAACAAGCCTATAGGACGATTCAGCGTTTTATATAGTAAGTACACGTATAGAAAAGCGGATCGGCAAAGAGCTGCTGCTACTTATATACCTTAGAATGTGTAGCTACATATTCGAAAGCCTCAGCTTAATTGCAACGTCTCTAGTGATGAACATTACCAAAGACATCTTTTTAATGAACTTTTTTTTCTCCCAACAGGTTGAAGAAACGCCAGGGCATGCAGGGCTAGGCTAGCGTAGAGGCGTGCAAATCGACTAAAAGGTTTTGCGCTTAGAGAGAGGAACGAGAGATGTAGGCGTGCGCAGGTGCGCGCGTGCGTGCTTGAGAGAAGAGGGGCAAGAAGGGAGTGTAGAGCAGGCAAGCAAAGGGGTGAAAGATTAAAGAGTGAGGGTTTACGATGCCGCAATGCAACCTCCTCTCCCCCCACTTCACTTCCACCATCACGAACATCGTCACCACCCATGCCTCAAACGCAGCGCAGCACCCACACCGCTGAAGCTGGAGGAGGTGGTGAACAGCAAGGTTGTGAGCGCGAGTGCAAATGCCACAGCTGTCAACGCAAACGTACGCATACATGTGTGTAGTCACTCAACCACTTTTCCCTTTCCATCACATCGCCAACCGGGACTACCAAAAGGACTGCTTTGTTCCTGCACTTACAAATGGTGAAAACATAGAGATGAAGACACACTCCTACAGTTCCATTTGGTGGGGCTTGGAAATGTACTTACTTTGGAGATTAAAAAGACGATTCATTGTAATGAAACGATACACTATTCTGCAAGTTGAGGCTTAAGACAGCATTTAAATTATATCACCATGGCGAATTGTAGACGTATACTTCTTTCAGTGCGTTATCCTACGAATTAGCTATTGTTACTGATGCCTGCAAATGGAACTGAGCAACCGGTGTTACCAACGCTGACGGTGTTATAAGGTACTCTGATCGGTAGCATGGCCTTTTCTCCCCACCTTCACGAAAGCTGACCCAAATTTAGGCGACATGAAGAAATGAATAAAATTAAGTATGTGCAAAACATGCGGTCTTAGAGGCACGGCTATTGAGGAAGGGCTATGAATAGAACTGTTTACTGTTTATACAGGTGGTAAATGTTCAACATTGTGATGCTACAAGGGGAAGATCTTTGTCATGAATGATGGAAAGCACCCGTCCTTCCTTTGAGATTCTTCGTCCAAGGGACACGCGAACACAAAGGACTGACGGCTTGACACTATCATCGCAACAATCAGTAGACAATTAAAAAAGCCATTTTTTCAGCTGGAGAAAGCAACGGACGTTACAACTAAAGCAACACAAATGAATGAACGACAAGCGCATGACTTACGAATTTAATAAGCACACAAAATGATGGATGTGAGTGTTTCTGCGATATCAAAACCATATGGAGTGTTTCTCCTCACTCCATTCTCACAAAACAAATTAGCATTCATGACACCAACTAAGTAGATAGACTACCTGTATCATTTTTGAAAATAAATTGTACCATATGACGAAAGGGTAACAGATGTTTCCGTTGATCACTATTACCTCAAATGAGACGTGAATGTGACGTGCGTTTTTAAAAACAGCAAAATGAATGGAGGAATTGGTTCCGCATGAGGAATGTGGCATTCAACTTGGTGATGACAATGAGTCTGATTGGTTACATTTTTCACGGTGGATGATCCATTCAATCTTGCCCTTTGAGTCACTATCAAAGTTTATAGTTATTAAAGCTACAGGCTGCTAAATAAATAATGACGATGCGATGAACTTATAGGAGAGGGATCAAAATCCCAAAATGGTGCAAACAACTAAAGAATTAGTCGTTCTTATGCAAAACTAAATCATAATTCCCAAATTCACGCATGAAAAAACGGTTTTCCACCTCCTGTTGTCCTTGAAGTCCAAATATATCAACACGAAATCTCATCAACTGCATGCGGATTTGCGTGAACTGAATGAACAGGAGCCAACTGCTAGATGAAACTGCTACCTTAAGGAGTCCATTCTACTCACAGCTAAGGTAGGTGTTTGTACACGCAGCAAATGTTTTACGATGAGACTTACTACGGCAACTAATCCCAAGGATCAAAGTAATAAAATTTTTTTATATCTGCAACTACTCCCGAGTAAAAGTACACTTCGGTAGACAGCTCAGTTCGATAAGGGTAGAGCGACTGCAAAACGTAGCGCATGAAAGAGATGGTTTACGACAGCAATGGACTATTCATACTGCTCAAAAGTAAAGGCGAAACTTAAATACTATGGTAAAGTTTGAGAACCTAGTGGAACTCCCTAAACGGTCCTCCAGTTCTGCTGCTCACGGATTCGTGTGTCTTAGAACGATTTCGAAGATAATTTGAACACTGAAATGGAGCACGAAAAATCGAAAAAATTTTGGACCGGAGATGACAAAAATGCTTGAGTTAAGGATGTTAAAATAGGGCATTTCAAAGTCTTTGCTCGACTAAGGCGAATAATTACGGTGTAGAAGACGACTATGGTGAAAGCATAAGGTAAAAACATCCGCTAGATGAGAAGTAGCGTCGACAGTCACATGGACGGTTCGACCTCGTGTTCCCAATTCCCGATTACTCGGATAATTTAGCGCCGAATCACATTTCATGCATCGTCGAATTGATTAGGTAGCAGCCAGAAGCTATAAAAGACGAAGCAGAATGAGGGAGACTACTTCAAAGCACCTACCGCATCGCCCTTGGTGCGCTGATCTGAAGAGACCAAAAGCCAAAGCCGTTCCAGTAGGGAGGATGGAGATGTGCCCATGTTATTTCGTACGTATAGCAGCTCCAGATTCGACTCCATCAGGCAGGCGAGAAGCTTACAGCCTGAAAAGAATTTCAGAAAAGAGCTTATTATTGTGAAATACCCTACCAGAGAGGCATATTTGTAGTATCTTCGCTTACAAGCATAAGTCTGACATCGCAGCTGTAGCGTCAGTTTAGGGTCAAGCCAATGAAATAAACGCAGAACTTTCTTGTTCTTGCAACAAGGGTGCTATTTACCTAGCTCTTAGACGAGAGGTGAATTGGTCACCAGATCAGTGAGCACTAACACCATGTGCCGAAACATTGGTTTCTACTTTCCACTGGAGAACAATGAATCTAGCTTAATTTGACGGGAATTGGGGCCGAGAGCCCAGTATTGCGACAGCTACCGGCCTTCAAGCACTTCAGTCACCAAGGTACTATTCCTCGATATGTGTACTTTTACGTGGCCGCCTAAATTGCAAATGCAAGCAGATCTCGAAGTTAGCACTTGTAGTACGATTCAAAAAGTTCATTGAGCAGCTAACTCTCCTTTATCGTTGAGTACCTAATCAAACTAAAAATTTAGCTGACCCCTTCTGCTTCCTGAGTCAAGGAAAAGAGTAAATATTATTAACGTACATTTGGAATATCGATGATGTTTGAGCCCGTATTTGATACAAGAATGGACTGGTGTGTTACCATTCCTGTCGTAAACTTCAATGGGTAGACCTACATCGACAAGATACCTAAAGGAAATGCACAAAAATGAGAAAAAACGTCAAGTTCGATGACCCTATAATGTGCTTAGAGAGACGGAGGGGAAAAAATACAAAAAATTTCAACCATCACTCCAAGAAGCACGTTTTATGCCCATGATTTTTGGATGAGTCGGGTTTTAGTTGGTTTTCCTTAAAAAAAAAAAACACTGCGACCCAACTAATTCGCGTCGTCACCGCAGAGAACTGGGTGATGAAGAAGATTGCAAAGGTGTTAAGAGCACCTATCATCTGAGTCTATTTTTTTTATTCAAACTACAACATGCTGTGATATGAAGGCCACAAATAGCGTTTTGCTGCGAAATTCTGGTACGCAGTGCGTGTCTAGGCTTGAATCAATGGGGACGTGTGTGTGTGTGGTCATTTGAGGCCATAATGGCAAAAAAGGAGGCAGAATAAATGCTAAACAAACATCAAATGGATTTAACTTTAAGAAGATGCCTTAAGGGGTGCAAATCCCTCCCAACAGTTGACTTAAGCATTTGTTCTATGTAATGGTGAAGCGTTTGTAACCTATTCACATAGTATCCAGCCTTTGCCCATCGATGGGCCTTACAAAGCTGCTCAGTGGCCAACGACGAGCGGAATCAACACGAAAGCCTACAGTCTAGTTCCAATGGTTTGGGAGTGCGTGAAAAAAGGATCTAGCCTAGATATTTAACGGAGAGACAACGCGGAAAAAGAGGTACTGAAGATGGTTCAGCTAGAGGATAGAAACAGAACGAGATTCAATTTAAAAGGAAGACTTGGTGCCAAAAAATGGATAACAGCCTTTGCCAAAAAATACAAATTTTGGAGTGTCGACTGAAAGTCGTGTACGTCTCCGCGTTGTTATAGGCATCAACTGCCAAATGAACTTCCTGTGAGACAGATTTTCCTAAACAACTGGCATCCGAAGCCTGCCGTCGAACGTCATCTAGTGCCAAGAGGGTAGAACACTAGAACAACCTGCAAAGGAGATGTAGGCGAGTCCATGGAGGTCTGCAAAACTGATCACGATGATATAAACCGAAAGGCCTTTCGTTTTTACGGAGGAGTTATTGTGCAACCTTCGCACAGGTATCATGATAATCGATCTGGGGAAAAACGTGGCAGACATTGGTGACAACTAGAAGAAGAATGAGTTCACATGTGACTTCCATATATGACTGCAAGAGCCTTTCAAAACCCCCATGGTTCGACCTTTACTTTAACAGCCCTTAGCTCGCCTTGCGATTCATAGTGAACCCACAGCGTAACTGTTGCTATATTACATCATTGATGAAGTGCAATATGATTTGAAACGAGTCAGTTATAGGTAATTGACTAATTGTAAGCCCGATACAAATTCATTGTTTTAAAAGAAGAACTGAAGATGAGTAGAATATTCGAGTTCCAATCTACCTGACCATCTTCATCCGGCCATGTTGACAAGCGACGTGAAGAAGGCGTCTTCCATGCAGATCAGCAGTAGAAGCAAGAAGGTAAAGAGCAGCAGCACTCTTTGAAACAGATGTGGAGGAAGTGGAATTATCGTTTGTAACAAGACACTGAGTCACAAGGCTTTGTAGACGTTTCACCTTCCCTTTGTGCGCAAGTTGGAACAGCACAGATGAGAGGTCTTGAGGTTGGGTCTAAAAGCGTCTCGGTAGTTAATTATACGCTCAGATAAATCCCATTTGCAATGTTCTATGCAAAGAAAAGTCGCCCCATTAATCATAAGCGCGTTTTGATGAAGTGAAGATTATCAAACCGATGGATTTCAAGTCGCTTTATAAATGAGACCTTGGTAATCCCAATCAATCACTTCGACTGGAACCGCCAATGTCAAGCCAACATCTGAGTGACAATGCATTCTTTTACGCAGACAGGACCCTATAAAGCGGTTGGTAAAATTTGACGATGTTGTATCAAGAAGCTGCAACAGACGAGTGCAAAACTTTCAAATTGACATGAGACAATATTCCACAGCAAGGTATTGAAGAGGCGGCCAGAAAGCAGTTGCACCAAAAGCCGTATCACCTCAAATCGACATTCCAACAAAACTTCCATAGGAATGACAACTGATGGCAAACCAGCCTTTCCAGTGCCAGACTTTCAAAAGTATAGCTCTATAAGAAAGGCAAATTTGTAAGAACAAACACTAAATACCAAGTAACACCGTAATGTGCTTGAGACTATACTTGAATGTGGCTATGTTGGTGAAGCCGCTCAGATTACAAGAATTGGTGAGTAAATTTACTCTGCAGCCACTTTCAAAGACAATTACCCAAAAGTAAAGAATGAAAGACCATAACTTTGTTTTGCGTGAGTTTCAGTGATGCAAATGAGGCTGACAACGAACTAATCATGGGAGGTCCTGATGCATTTTACAGTTTAGCTAAGCCCCTTCAGTGCACCTAAAACCGGCTGAAGGACAATCATCACAGGCAGCGCTACAGATCAAGGCGACGCCCAGCAATTTAGAGCGCCATTCCATATCTACACTTAATGTATGACGCAAAGGCGGTTAACAAAAATACCCTATCTGAGGCAAACATCCGCTCATGGTTCGAAGAATAGGTGAGTCGAACACCCAACTCCCTAACTTTTCTCCTTTAACGAGAAAATAAAACGAACCCAGTAAAAGACTTTGTGCTACCAACATGACAAAGTAGTTGTGCCGGGTTGGTCAGTTTCCCTTGTATAACGCCTAAATTGAGCCCTTCCAAGCTATTAAAAAGAGCCAACAGCGTAAAAAGAAACAGCACCAACACAAAAAAACAAGAGGTGAACAAGTTACACACTCTTCTTTTTCTTTGTAAAAATGTAGCACACTAGGTTTCTTTCCATCGGCATCATTATTAAGCCTATCAACAATATTGTATCGTATCGTTATCAGGAGAATGGGGAAAGGGAGACAGCAGAAGACTTTTCTAAAATAGTTGACAGAATCGAGAGAATAGAGTGAAAGAGTTGATCGTGTGAGCTGGAGGCGAGTGACGGTGTGGCCGGGAAGACAGTACGAACTTATAGAGCTGGGTGTGCGATTTGTATATAGATAGAAGAATTAGAAAATAAATGCCCCACACGAAGGTATGCAAAGACGAGGGTGGCGGGATTCCTGAGACGGAGAGAGGAAAAAGTGATAGAGGTGGCGGGCAAGAGAGGGCGGTCATTTCGCGCACACACATCTCTAAATGACTGATGCAGAGGAGGTGTGCGGTTGATGTTGCTGCTGCTGGGCCTGGGGTGGAGGAGGAGCAGGGGGCATAAAAAAGCTTTGGTCTTGTGGTTGTGGTTGGGATGATTGGTAGTCTGACGACGCAACGGAGTGAGGTGTCGGGGGAAAGTACTGTGCAGGCGTAGCAGCGGTAGGATAGGATGTGGACGGAAGGTCTTCCCTGCCCCCACTTCCAGGACGCCACGGTGGCGGGGGTGGGGGCAGAGGCGTGTAACCGTTGGGGTCCCGCTTCAAATGCGGCGGTGGAAAACTCGCAGCGAACCCATAGCCAGATGGTGCAGACGGGGTGAGTGGTGTAGGTTGCGGTTGAGGTGGTGCAACCGGAGTTCGCCCACCACCGCCGCAGCCGCGTTTTGTCAAGAGCATCTCAGTGAGGAGACTCTCATTGGGAATACAGCTGGCGTAGTAGCGCGCCACGAGGAAACTCTCCAATTGAAAGGCCACATGTTTTACCTCAGTAAGGTGCGACAAAAGCCGACCCAGCCGCTCCGAGGCTGCTATTGTAGCCAAAGTGGAAGCAGCATGAGTGGGAAATGTCGGAAAGGCCGGTGGTGGGGGAGGTCTCTGTTTGATAGTACGTCGAGCTGCTCGCAGAAGGAAGTGGCACAGATCCGCTTGCACCTCCCGTACATATTCCAGACTTGAGGTTAGATTGACGTCTACAATAATTCCACAAAGCATACTGAGTAAACACAACTGCGTGCACAATTCAGGCATTTAGGATTATGATCACCTAAGCGAAACGACATTAGAACGGAATTGAACGCAAAAAAGATAAGGGAAGATGTGAAGGTGTAAGAAGAGCGGGCGCGTGCGAATGCGTACGTAGACGACCCGAGAGCGACACCACCCGCATGACGAAGAAGACGGTAGAAGGGTACACACGCGCAATGTGACCTCATCAGGTCATTCACACGACCGCTGGAAGCGAAGATTTCTACTATTGACAGAAAACTCCCTTCTTCAGCTCCCAATCGCACTCCTCATGAGGTGGTATCCCTTCCATCCTCTCCATAACCACTTCCTGATACCAGGTCAAAGCTCGTTTTAAATACGATGCAACCCCTTTTATCTAAGTACAAAGGTTTTCCAAAAACACACGTACACACCTGCCAAACGCGGTAGTAGATGTTGGTAAGGACAATCAAACTTTAAATTGTTGTACGAACCCCTTTCACTTCAGCAAAGTCTCCCTGATCATTTATTGGGATCGTATGCTACATCATCACATCATCTAATAGTAAAGACATACCATAGCCCTAATTTCCAGTTCATTCAACTCCAACCACTCGTTCACATCAACGTTGGCATCAAGACCGACCACCACCATTTACTAGCGTAGGCACATGGGTTTATCTCGCGCTCTGAATGCATAAAGTCGATTAGGCAGCTTTTTAAGGGCGCCAACCTGAAGAGTGATGTCCATTATATTCAACCCACTTTTTATTTCACAAATATTCATGTTGAATGATTAAGTGAACAAAAGAGACTAGTGGCAAACGCGGGAAGTAGCTGTGGGATACAACAAATTGGTTCGTCAGTTGTCTAAAAAATGAAAAAAAGTGCACAAAAAGAACACCAAGGTTAGAAGTGAAAGCATCCACAAAAAGACCGTGGCCATAAGTGAAATTAGAAAGGGAACCATAAACTAAGGCCAGATCCGGAGAAAGACTGAAACTCTGTAAAGTAAAAGTGATAGGCATAAAAAAGCATCGATCTACGCAACTGAATTCTGGGCGGAGCAACACAAGAGTGGAGGGCGGCTAATTACTAAGGCTCCAATAGCTGAAAATTGCAAGCGAAGCACTCTGTGAGTGCCTGTGCGGACGGACAAGGCAGATAATTGCAGTCGCACACACAAGTGCAAACATCCCATTGAGGTCACGTGGCATGTAGGTGGTGAGTATTGATGTGGTAGAACAAATTGCAGTCGAGCCACAATTCGACTAACTTGGCTACCTTTGGCAACAAAACCAAAGTGTGCGCCGTCCTCTAGTCGTCAGCTCAGAGCATCCAGGCTCGGGAGGAGGGCCATTAACCCACCCTGTGGAGATAACCTAGAGAAGGGCCCAGTTCCATTAATCGAGTTACTTCTCCTACGAAAATGCCAGGACCACGATACTCAGATAACTGAATCTCAACGAAGTTAATTCGGATAGCACTTTGAGCAGGTGAACATCCCAGATAAAAACAATCATAAAACTTTGAGGTTATTATTGAGTCCCGTAATTTCACTCGTTCCAGAAGTGTCGGCATCACGTCTCACGTGCTTGTCATAGCCTATCAATCGGTCGAACCTCAAATGAGACCAAATTACGAGCATAAGTTACATCAAATACTAGCCGATTCAATGTACGCGCGTTGAGACGAGGGAAATCAAGAGTAAAACAGTTACTCAAACGTGATGTAGGGGAGTCGATTTTGTGGTTAACTTAGATGTGACAAGTAATTACGTAGGTGATGAAGATCGCAATTTGTTAGCCCACAAGACGGAAGGTACACTTCTATGATGTTTTGGCAATTTGCCGCATTTAACTGTCGATTTCAAAATTTCCCATCCTAGGAAAGGAAATGGACTATAACCAACTCTTAAACAACAAGTAAAACAAACTGAAGCTTGTTCATGTGGCACTTTTTCTACCCGTATTTGTCCAGCTGAAGGAGTAGTAATTGCTCGATCCAGAAGATCGCCTTTAAGTCCAGAGCAGGATAATGTAATAGCTTGCAGTTTAGACGCGATGTAGCGGTCCTGGCATTCACACGTATGTGGTTCTCAATGGTGTTACGCGCAAACTGCCAGTCACATGCTACCAACTGCCCGACACGCACACGCATAAACTAACATGAACAAAAACGCGCAGTCACCCTGTGCGCATGCAATAAAGAAGACCCATTGGGAGGGGCAGGAAGGGAGGAACAAATGTAAGCGAGAAGGGTTGATGAGAGATTTCCCTTGCGCCACATTACTCCAGCTAGCGCTTCTGATTTTGTGGTTCCCTCAGCGTGTCAAAAAGTCACCATGTAGAATAAATAAGGATGTCGTACTCATTTCACTCCTAATAACGAGATAGGTTTCCCAATTCAGGCACAACAAAAGCAATCGTAACGCATTAAGAACCGGCCTCACAACTACGTGATACCCTGATTTTCGTACCTGAACCCGCACTTAATGGACGCTTTGTACACTTGGGTGCCACTGAAGTGAATTTAGGCCGTAAAAACGGAACAAGTTGGCAAATTAGAAACGAAAGTATAAGTTGCGGCAACCAATTTCATCGAGACCTTGGCAACAAAAGTTATAGACTACTTTCAGTGAATTTTAGCCAAGAGCAGTGACTGACCATGCTTGTAAGGGTTGAAGATAACCAGAAACTTAAGGCAGGTGAACTCGTGACTGGAGAGACCGAGGGCACTGAAACGAGCAATCAAGTCGCGAATCCGTTGATTGTCGTCATCGGGAGGGAGGAGGTATTCCATTAACTCCTTTACAAGATAATGGAGATCCCGATTCGAGGGCTCTCGTGGACTGTCTGCGCCTGCCTTCATCATGTCGGACTGGCGTAAAAAAAGCCATATACTCAAACAGCAGAAACCAAAAATAAGCCCGCTCATGAGCGGAGATAAACGAAATACCTACTCGATCTTCCGTTCGAAGGTTGAGGATCACGCACTGCAAGAACTCAATCACAATGACTTCACTCCAACTACTATACAAAAGTTGCATTTTGTCTTCAACCTAAAAAGAAATGCACAATTTAACTTCTGACAAGGGGATCTGAGTGCCCTAGTTTCAGAAGTGCAGAGCCGAAAATGTGAATGCTGAGTTTATTTGCAAACGAGTGTCGAAATGTCGTACCTACTTTGCTAAACTAACGAACTAGGGAAAAGTAGCTTTACGCAGAACAAATTCCACTTTTCAAATACCAACAGTAACACCAGAGATTTGTGGAACCACCTCCTGTTTTATTAATAGTAATGAGATGACAAAAACAAAAGACACGGTGAAGGGAAAGCGAAACAGTGAAAATGTGTGATTAGAATTGCAAATGCGGACAAGTTGTTGAAATATGGGCTACAGCAACTGTATGCACGCACAGTGAAGTGGATTCCCTTAAGTTAGTAACTTTAATGCACATTGTTGTCAGAACATTCATCTAATGCCATTTCTTCGTGCAGATTGGTAAAAGAAATGGTGGGTATGGGTGAATTCTCCCATCTATGCATATCCATCAATTAACGTGCGCGCATGCGATGTTAGACCAAGGCAAGATAACGTGAGCAAAGGGAGCCAGAAACAGCCACATTCAAACAGAGTAATTGGAAATTGAAAATAACTAAACTGTAGCCAAAGGAGTGAAAAAGGAGAGCATGACATTACCAAAGTGCGATAACCCGATAAATCAGTTTTCACTTAAATAGGCAAAATTTGTACCGGTAGCTTGAGTGGATGTAATTTCAGTATCTAACATCTAACTCGCATAACCAATACTGGCTACAACAGAAGTTGATGGTACTAAACAACGTGTTTAAAGTGTTGACTGAAACCAAAAGCCAAGCCAATGCCAATTTCTTGATATGTGTGCAACACCGAATACAGGCTCAAAAAAAGCATGTATGTGGCTGGAATGAAAAGAAATTCGCCAGAGACTCACTTAAGGCTCAACTAATGGGGGTGCGCATTCGGTATCTTCTAATACTCACTATCTGACCGAATTTTGCCTTACCCCAGAAAATGAACCGCATTCAAACCATACGTGAAGATTGATTAATTAACTCTGCTCGATTACCTTCCGTCACCTATCACTTGACAGAAGTCAATCTCATCAAAATATGGAAGTTCTTTTCCTAGACTGACGAGGTTTAGTCAGTAACAACAGGATCAGGTAATGGTCAGAAGAAATATACGACCGCAAGTGAATAACTACCTCCGCTGTAGCGCTGTGCAGCACCAGCAGTGGCGGCAGAGGTGGCAGTGCTTGCAGCAGAACGTTCTGACGTCAACTCGAAAAGGAAGCGCACGTGCGTACACGCATGCGCAAGCTAACGTGCGCGCGCGTTTGTGAGCGGGCGGGGAGTCATAAAATAGAGGTAGGATGAATACAGAAGATGAAGACGACATAAGCTCGGGGAGATGCCTGTCTTATTCTTCAGCGAGGCTACACAACGCACCTGCATCCACGCCCACATCTACGAGACATAACCTGGACATAAAGTACCCGTTTCACTAGTTTCGAGTAAGGCTCAACATCAACTGACAAGGTAGTCTTATAATTTTGAGTATTATGTGAAATAGGTGAGTGCATTGATTTAAAAATAGTCTAGCGGTGTTCTCAGCCTACAAAGTAGAGGCATTCACAACATAGGAAAGGATTTGGAACCTAAAAGAAATACGATCGAAAACACTGAATCACAATCAGAATGGGATATTGACCACCAAAGCGCTCGGGGGTAAAAATTACCCTGGTGGGAAAAACCAGGCAGTAGTCTGGGTAAACTTATTAAAAACAACAAATAAGAAGTTAACATTTGATACGAATGAGAACAAGAACTAAATTAAAGATAACGTAATATGGCTCCACCACAGAAAGGGCCGTGCGTTCGTCATCCTTTCTACGGCACTATCAGGATATATGGGAGAATAGACAATAAACACGCCCAACGTTAGGTCTTCCTCCTCAGTACTTTAAGACCACACCCTGAACCCATAAGCGTGACGAATGGCAATTTCGAAGGGTAGGCATATAAGACAAGCACGGGGATAGGGGTGGCCAATTTGTCCTACTCATCAAGTCCAAATCAATTTTCATGCGCACAGAATTCGCAAAAATTCCTCTAATGACTTCATCAAACAGTGTGAGGCAACTACATTGGAACGGACAAAAGGATAAGGCGGAAGGGGGCTAACAAGAGGTGAGAAATTAGAGCCCGAAGGGAGGATGATCCAGAGCGTAGATGACTAAATCCGAGTGGACGCACAGGCACAAGCGCATCCACATATGATAACTCATAGGCAGAGCGCGGACGCACTAAGGTATGCGGTTTATGGTTATGGGCGCAATCATAGGGCAGCGAGATTGCGGGGATGGAGAGGGTGAATTAGTGGCGTTTGTGCGCGCATAACCGTAGGATGTATTTTTGCCACCAGAAAGTGCACCAAAGCGGCCAGTGCATGAAATACCTCATGTTCGATTTATGTTTCCCATTTGCATTTCCCATTTTGTACGCATAAGCACACGCGCATCGGTGAATTCCATCAAATTGAGAGCAAATTGATAGTCCAAACACGAATAAAAAATGCACAAGATACATAAACACAATCACCATAAGTCATACTCACCCGAATCACTCGAAAAATCTCGGTCCGGTTAACCCAATCGACCATGTGAAAGAGGCAATCCTCAAGCATACTTGAAAGCTTGCAGAGAATGTTATCAAGGGGACTGTCAGGTGCTGCTGCAGCCAAACTGAGACCATCCGGCCCGCCTCCATTGTTGGGGGACATAAAACCACCTTCCACAGGATTAAGACCAATCTCTGCTTGTGTGCTTGCCCGAATCAAGTATTCCTTTAGTTTCTGTTGGCAAGATTAGCAAAATGGAGTTTTGCGACCTACTAATGTTATCCCATATTTCTTATAACAAACATAATCCGAAGGCTGAGGGAGACCTAACAATGCGCGCGTTTTGTTTAAGTACATGCTAGCTTACCATACTGAATGGGGATTACGTAAAACCACACACTCTCCTAGCACCGTTTCGTGACAAGACTATGAATAAGTAGGAAAAATGGATTACTCTGCTGCAAACTCACAGGGTAAAATTGCTTGGCCAAGGCGATAAGCTTCTCTGAGTGGGCATTCGAAGCTGAGAATAGTTGGGCAAAGTTGATTCCCTCGAACGGTACACTGGCAGCCGCTGAAGCTGGAGCCTTGATGCCATTGCTGAATCGCAATTCACCACCCCCCTCAGCCATGGAAGCTTCGTCTTCAGAGGAGAGATCACCCTCCAGTTCGGCAATCTCTTCCAGTGTCTCCTCTAAATTCTCAGGATCGGTTGCCATACTGCTATCAACTGTGTAGAAGCCCCCGCCTTCGACCTGATCGAATCGCCCACTACTCTTAAGGGACTGCGAGTGCGAAGGTGCGGACCGATAATAGTCACTGAGACGAAATGTCGGCGATTTTCTAGAAGACCACATCACTCCGCCTGACTGACTTGTGCTAGAGGCTGAGGTATTTCGCGGGTAATACTGGAAAATCCACAGTTAAAGTGTGAAATTGTCTGTTCCAAAGGACAAGTGCTAACGCTCCCATTAGTCAAAGTAAAAACGTACTTGAAGCTCTTCTGCCGAGGGGATGGGCGTCTGACCCCCACTCCCAGAACTGGAGGCACCAAGGAGTGCAATATCTGGTGCTGGTTCGCTTGAGGTTGGGGCGAGATAGGCACCATTGTCAGGTGGAGGCACGGCCTCCTTTTTTGGAGCGGAGCCCTCGTAGAGCCCAGGGATAGAAGCAGATGAAGTGGAGGAGCAGGGTGTGTATGGAGCGTGATGACTGGATGTGGGTGTCGCTGCTGCTGGCAGAAATGGACGAAGTGGCCCGTTTGGTGGTGCTGCAGCGACGGTAATGGTGGTGGAAGATGAGGAAGCAGATTTGGATGCACTCCAATTTTCTGATTTCGATACAGACTGGGGATTGATCGGACTAGAGGAAAGAACATCAATAAGAGAACGATATAAAACAAATTGACCAACGATGAAATAAACGAATAGAGATGAAATGTAAAGCTACCCCTGTTAAAAACTAAAAAGTTTGTCATGAATCGGAATGACCCACCGTCCGAGGTCAAGAGGAAGCGACATTTTAGCAAGAGGCAAGAGACACTCAAGCTGCATTTTTTGAGGGCGGCAAGGCTGGTGCCAACAATAGAGGCATATCAAATATGCCACTCGCGCACCCACCCATCTACCCACCCCCATTGCCTACATCACCTAGAGGGAGCGAGCGATAGAGGCAGCAGCTGCCAATTGGCTAAGCCGCACAATCACCAATCCCCGGGTTAAAAAAGTGGTTGGTGTATCCAAATAGTGCGCGCTTAAAATTTGATTAACATAAGAATAAACCAACTCGCGCCCGAAGTACACATTACAAAGACACAGATCATGGAAGGGTAAACAGGAGTGCAAGGGTGGTATCGCTACGCTCAGAGAGAGTGGGAGGAGGAAAGGCAGAGAGCTCACTCAAGGCCACAGAGGTTTGACGATGTGGGAGGGTTCCAGTAAGCCTTTTGGGAAGTCGGAGCGTCTTGGTTGGGGCAAGGAGTGGTTGCAGAGGTAGGCTCGATGGGAGAGGGCTGTTCGCTGGGGTAGTTCTCCGCCACCTCAGCCTCCTCTGCCTCTCCATCGCCACCGACTCCGCTGCTGCCCTCGTTATCAGGGGAGGATGGAGGAGGCGATGAAGTCGACTTGCTCCGTCGCAATCTACCGCCGCGCATTCGGTCTTCGCGGACGGCTAAAGAGGGATATGAATTAATACAATTTTGGCATTGGGAACGCCAAAGTGGAGTGGCAACGAAAAAGTAGTCCAATCAGCAGCCAAATGACATTTGCTACTACGTAAAGCAAGAGAGAACCACAGGTTCTCCAGCTATCATGAAGTATGGATGTGCAGGGAACGCAATTTACCAAGATAACCCAAGATGCGGCAAAAGTCGGATTATCGGGGAGCATTGGCTAAGAAAAGCACAGCATATGCAAATGAACATGAGTAAAATGTGTGATTCACAAAGTGCTTAAAATTTGATAAACATCTGTTTCAGCAAAAGAAGAGACAAAAAAGATAGTTCAAAAACTGAAAGCCACGAAATTTGTTTGGTAGACGGCGACAAAAACACAAACAACAGCAAAACGAAATTCCACAAAAACAATAATATGGACATAAAGCGCAGAGGAATAATTTTTGTGCCAAAAAAATTGACCAACTTAGCTAAAAGGAACGCAGCACGTACCCTCTATTCGCATGCCAACTGAAAGACACTTTTTGAAACGGCAATAGGCGCAGCGCTTCCTATGGATGCGGTCGATTATACAGACGCCGGCTTCTGTGCACTGATAAGACTTTTTGTTCTGAACAGTTCGTTTGAAAAACCCTTTACACGATTCGCAGGTTTGCAAACCGTAGTGATAACCAGAAACTTTGTCGCCGCAAACAGGACAGGCTAAAATCCAAGGTGCGTCGGGTCTCGTGTCATCAAGATTTGAATGCGCTATAAATGGGGGAAAACAGTAAGCGGGAAAAATGCATGCATCGACAATAAATTTACCTAAAAAACAGACAATAGAGAAGGGCAATCAAGGAAAAATAGAGCCAACCAGCAGCCAAGAAACACCGTCACTCACAAGGAGAACTAAGAGCAGTACTCGAACAAGCAATTGACGAAACCAATCCCTTTCTTTCAGAAGTGTTCCACTGTTCTTGGTCTAAGTCATAAGCTTCCGGGGAAAGGGAGGCGTGGGACATTACTTGGATCCCAGCGAGGGAGAGCTACGAAAAATGGGAAGCACCAGACTTAAGAAGGGTTGCCCACAATGCAAAAGCCTCTTCAGAAATCGACATGAAGTTAAATGGAAATAAAGTAGAATTGAATTTGGAGTCGTAGGAAAAAACGAATAAAAAGGGACTAGACCAGACACGCTTCCGAAGGATCATAACATTCTTTTTCCAACACTCGGGCCGTAGGAATAGGATAAAAGCATAATCTCGATAACATCACCAGCGCACCTCATATCAAAAGATTCTGTAGGGAATGACGATGAAAGGCTCTCAACCAAAAAATTTGGAATAGTTCAACCAATCACCGTAGAAAATTAACGAACTAGATAAATGACACAATACCATTAGTCTATATTTAACAGTATCAATAAAACCAAACAAACAGTGCGTAAATAAGATCGAATTACTTTAAAGCCTAAATTAGAATTATAGTGTTAAAGAACACTAAAAATGGTCAACGAAAAAATTACATTTTGTGATCATGTCTTAAGATTAGATGCGTACTTTAGATAATATATATGAATAAGTTAGCGCTGTTTTTTTAGAGTTAGAGCAACGATTAGTCAAGAAAATGGCTATTTAAATAAATGGTTAATGATATTAATCTTGCATTACATAGCCGAACATATTCGCTATTTGATTCCAACACGGAACAGTGTAACGACTCGCCGAGCATCAGGTCACATAAACAGGGTATTACGAGCATAAACAACGCTGCGGTCATCAAATAACGAAAATGGTGATTTGATTTCTTACTGCTTTGGGATGTAACTCGCCAGTGATTCAATCCTCTTCTCCCTGGCCAAGACTCTAAAAACTTACTGTCGCTTCCGGTCCCTTCATTCCTATTTGTAATCACGGCTGATGAGATTTTGTGTCTTCGATGAGTACGCATGTGTGATAGTTGTCAGTAAATGTCACTTCGAATTCTGTCCTGATGGGTGTTTTTTGTCCCAACAAAATGCATTTTGTGTGAGTGTCAAGTTATTTTCTCTTGTACGAACACCAAGAATCCGCTTATGTGCATTTGAATTTTAGTTTCTTCTTTAACATCTTCTAGACTTATCAGTAATGCAGCTCATATGTGGGGTTATTCTTATCACCATAATTTTCCTGTAAAACGTGTGAGCGAATTGTGGGATGACGTAATTAACCGTAGTCAGGCTTATCTGTACGCCTCTTTCTTCTCCTAGAATGCATGGATTCCATCCGACGTGATGCCTTCTTCTACCTGGAGCAAGTCTTGAGGCGCTACCTTTGGGACAGCGGAAGGCAAATCAGACTTTTCAATGACTTTAAATTAGTACTTCGAGCAGGAGAACCTATTAATTCTCCGCATTAGAAGGGTTGGGAATGATGTCAGCGTTTGGCCCTACCGCGTCCCTGCTGCCCGCAGACAAGCTATTAACAACCGAAACGACACCGCCGTAAACTATCAGGAAAACTTCAGTGTCGTATTACCTCTATTCCGTTTATGCGGACCGCCTTACATACGGAGCTGTGTCTGATTCCGTTTTCCCGTACAAAATCTGTGTTAGACTGGAATTCCACTGTCGTGTCCTGAAAGCAATTGATGACCAAGAGATGGGTGCGGCCCCGATTCTGGCCTTCAGACCGAACGTAACTCAAGATCCACTTGAAGCTGCTGAGTAGACCAAGTGTCGTTTCTGTGTTTCACCTTAGCTGTTGAACAGCGCGGCTGACCTTTAGATACTTTATTGCAATATCGAATATGTTGTGATGGCCGGGGCAGGAGATGTAAATAGGTAAGCGTCGAAGAGGTCACTTAGATGAAAGGGACAGTGAAATTTTTGTTTGCGTGACCACCTGATGTCTGGCGGCTATTCTGCTATTTGTCTGGCCACTGACTTCATGCTCCGAAAAGAGCCTGCACAAAAATGTAATAGTTTATACGTTTAATACACTAGGATGGAAAACATTCCTGTGGTGCCCCGAGGCTACCAATTTGGCCGTAGCAGCTATTTATTAGGGCTGAATGCATGCACTCAAAGCGAACAAGAGCAGGACAAACACCAAAGCAGTCGAAACGTAAGGGTAGTTAAGCAAAAAAATTACAATTTCGAAAGCTACCGGAGGGTGTCATACCATAGCTGCATGCTTGTGCCATTGTCCTGATTCCTTTTATCCCTTCGCTATCGTTTGAGTCCTTTCCAAGTGCCTCCTCAGGACTGTTTATTTACTCGAGTTTATTGCATATAGCACAACGGATTTAAAAGGAAATGTAACAAAAGGGAGAGGGCAGCGTCGGCGTTCGAGTTGAATACCTGAATTTTGCCCACAAGGGCGTCGTTCTCCCAACGGTATTTCGCATTCATTTGTTGAGATTACTTTTTGCCCTTTCTCCACCAAGGCTTAGAAACAAGGTAGTAGCAGCGATTTAGAAGAGAGCTGCTGTTGATTGTAGTATGGTTTTGAGTTGTTTGGTCTTCGTTGCGTAGCGTTCCGAGACTTCCCACATGGTTAAAATAGGCAGTGAATGGAGTTGAGTAAATGTAATTCAAGAGGAGCAAATCAACTAGGCCTGAGCATGGCCCGGACTCCAATTCACGACTACAAGAGCCAGACAAATCTTAAAGTTGCCGCCAGGTATCAGGTGGTCATATAAACTGTAGCGTCCCGAGACTTCCTAGCCAGTATAAGAAGTCAGTGAGTGCAGCTGGATACATGTATTCGGAAGACAACAGAGCAAATGGGCCTAGGCATGACTCGAGGGTCAGTCTGCATGTACAAGGGTCAGACACATCCTAAAGTTGCCACCGAACTTCACATAAACAAAGCATTACACTGTCCCTCTCTTCGTTTGGGAGACGTTCTCGACGCTCCCCTTGGTATACCTCCCGCGCCAACCATCACAACATATTTGGTACTTCAAAAAAGAACCTTCGAGCCAGCCACACTAATCAACAGCTACCATGAGGCTGAGAAACGGTACTTGGTCTTCTCGGGAGCTTCAATCGGAGATGGGGTTGCGTTCGGTCCGACAGGCAGAATCGAGATCGCACATACCTATTGATCGCCAAATGCTTCCAGAACAGGTTAAAGGAACTCTGACCTAAAAAAAGATGTACTGCAGGAAAAACGAGATCAGACACGGTCCAGTATGTAAGAACCACAGTGTCATTTTTGACACCTAAACACTGAAATGTTATGGGAAAATTTGGCATGAAACTTTACCAGATGGTTCACAACGGTGTTGCTTCAATTGGTAGTAGCTTGTCTGTAGAACAAGGGGACAAGGTGGAACCAAGCACCAACAGCAGTCTCAATCCTTTTGCTGTAAAAGTTTAAGAGATTCTCCTGCTAATTATGTGGATGCATCTCATCCACACCGTAGGTACATGCAACAGGCGGTACGTGCTTGGATGGAAGTCGTTTGTTTTCCGCTGCCACCAGTGTAGCGCCTTCAGACTTCCCACTGGACAGAAGAAGGCGGCAAATGGAACCGAATACATGTATTACAAGGAGAACAGGGTAATTAGGCCTGAGCATGACCCAAAGGCCAGCTCATGCGTACAAGGACCAGACAAATCCTAAAGCCTCAGTTAGGCGTCAGATGGCCACAGGAACAAGTTATTATACGTTGCAGTTGATTCTTTACCAGGAAGACAGATTTAAGCGGAAATTACTGCATTAATTGAGTTCGCTTACCAGCATTGATGAAAATTAAAGAACCATGCTACTTAGTCGATTAAACTTTGGTTAAAAGCAAGTATTTTAAACAAGTAGCGAGTTAGGAAGTTAGGTAGCGTATGCTACTTTAAAAGTGTCATAACGATAGAGGCTAGCGTAAAAGGTTACAATAAAAATAAATTGTAAATGTCCCAATTCTTCCTTGTGAGTTGTAAAATGTTGCTAGAAATCACTTGTATGCCGACTGACGAGTACACTTCTTTTTAACTGATGTTTGGTTGTTCATGAAAGTATCGAGAAATTGAATCATTTTGTGGATTTGATTTGAGCTTGCTATAAATTACTACAACCAATCAGTGCACGGGTCATTACCACCGTCAGCCTTGGGTTGTGCACCGTCCGTCATTTCGAACATGTCACAATTTTATCATGTTACGACTCAGCGCTCGACTTCTGTTACCAAGGCTCTCACGGGTAAAATTTGTGAATTTGTGAAAAACAAATTACTATAATTGTTGCGTTATGGCGTTTACCTTGATGAGATCGTGAATTGTGTCCTTTTTTCTATATTTTCAGTAGTTAGGGCAAACGGCTACAGTATCAGGGACAGTTCCAAGGAATACAGACTAGCACCTTTTCTTTTTGATGCTTTTAGGAAATTTTACGGGTCCCAATGACCTTAATCTTCTTATCATCAAAAATTCGTATCTGGAACTTTATGATGTCACAATTGAGGGTCTGAAGCTGATACATGACGTGCCGTTGAATGCCAGCGTTCTTACTGCTTTGTTTTTTCGTCGAAAATTTTGCAAGCGTGATGCGCTATTCGTGCTTACTCACAAAGCCGACATAGCCATTATAGAATGCAATCGTAAGAATGAATCAATAGAATTCGTTACAGTCATGTCGGCAAGCATTGCTGTATGTCTTCGTGCATGTATTAACAACTCCTCTTCCAATATAGGACAGTGCTGCCCGTATGCTGGATCAAGGCTTCGATGCTCTTGTAGATCCCAGTGCTACTTACATTGTGATCAGAATGTACTATGGAATGCTGAAGCTTGTTCCGATTGCCAATCTTTCTGAACCTCGCGACCCTTTAAGCAGAGTTGATCAGCAAGCAATGCCTATAAGTGTCAGGTAGGTTTTGTGTCACCTTATTTACTTTGCTTCTTAGGATTGAAGAGACGCAAATTGTGGATATGGTCTTCTTGTGCGGTTACACAGCGCCCACTTTTGCGCTGATTTACGAGGATGATATGGTAGCCTCAATAAAGATGTATGATATCTTTGGCAAAGACCCAATCCTGCGCTCTGTGCCTGTAAATGTTGACTCCATCGAAACCAGCTCAAAGATCCTCATCCCCGTTCCAGCTCCTTATAGTGGCTTTATCTTAGTAGGCGACAGTATTATTTGCTATCACACTCGGGAGACCTTTCACATCTCTCAGTACATACCTCAAGCGCAGGTACGATTTGAGTTTTTTGGCACTTCTCAGCGACGGATAACCTGTTTCCCTTGGGTGTTCCTCTTTTCAATGCTTTAGAACAGCCGTATAGTCTGTTATGCCAAGGTGGACTCAAGGCGCTACCTCCTAGGAGATATAGCTGGCCGTCTTTACATGGTTCATCTATTGCCACAGGATGAGAAAACTATACGACCCATTCCATCTACATCGCGCGATATGACTCACGCTAATCCACGAATCGGCTCCATACGTATTGAACTCCTCGGTAAGTCGATATTAATCTGATCTTATGCTTTCTAGTATAATCATTAAAGAATATTAACGCTGGATTATTAGTTCGTATGTTAGTGTTTCGTAGGTGGTGCTTTGGCGATAGGACCGATTCGGTCCTCCTCATGACTTCTCTTTGAGGCTCGTAGGGTTTTATTGGTTATTCTTCCATTGTTCATGTTCCAGGCGAGACGGCCATTCCAGAGTCCATAGTTTATCTCGATAATGGTGTGGTTTTCATCGGTTCTTACCTGGGCGATTCGCAGCTGATCCGGTTAAACCCGGAAATTGATCCCAAGACAAATAGCTACATTACGATCCTTGAAGAGTTTACAAACATTGGTCCCATCGTTGATATGGTCTTCTTCGAGAACGATGGTCAGAGTCAACTTATCACCTGTTCCGGTTGCTATAAAGAGGGCAGTCTGCGTATTATTCGAAATGGTATTGGTATTCAGGAACGTGCCACCATTGACAAAGAAAATCTCAAAGGTTAGCCGTTCACTTAATATTGGTTTTATTTCAAGTTAAAAATTAGTTGATTATACGTATTATTCATCTGTCCTAGCGGTGTGGTGCTTCCCACTCGAATCTGATACCTACGATGATTCCATCATCGTGTCTCTAATTGGTCGATCTCAGTAAGCTTCCTCTCCGATTGTCTTAACAGTGTTTGCTGCCTCTATTCTCCTATGATTTAGATTCGATGAAGTCACACGTTTTCTAGATTTAAAAAATCGTCACGCGTAACCCAATCAAATATGAATTCTAATCCTCTTCAGTTGGAAAAGTTATTTGCTTCCATTAATTGAGAACGCGGAGTGGTATAGTTAGGCGCAATTCAAAGTATTGATACTATTGCGATGGTAATCCTACCCCCTGTTGGTTATAGTATAATTCCTTTTTCTATAGACTTCTGCGTTTAGTAGGGGATGATTTGGACCAACTCAAGTTGGAGGGTTTTAATCTTGGAGAACAGACCCTTCACTGTGATGTGGTCTATCCAATTGGTTACAAACAGAAACCGAGGTCTCTCCTTATGCAGGCAACCACGTACGGCCTGCGACTCATCGGTATAGGGGATCTTTTGGGTAGGGGATGCTTGGCAAAGTGGCGTTCTCCCACCGACAGATCAGTTTCCTCTCTCGCCTCGCGTGGTGACTATGTTGTAGTAGCCAGTGGGTCGGACCTGTTTGCTCTTCGTATAACGGGAACTCCCGAGGCTCCAGAATTCACACAAATTGGGTAAGTACATTGTCCAGTCAGTGCTACAGGTAGAAGGGGAGGAATCCCCGTATGGCATATCCTTTGGAAGGAACTACTGTCATTTTTATGTAGGCTAATGGAATGATGCTAGTCAAGGGTGTACTATGATTCAGGGCATTTGTAAAGCGCATGATCACCGCTCATTCAAACTTAACAATGCTGGTGAGGAGTTTGCGGAATTAGTTTGAAGATGTACTCAGACACAGAGAGCGCCTCTCAACATAGAAGCTGAAGACTAGAGCTCATTTGTAAATATTTTAGGTTTTAAGTATTTTAGCCAGGACTTTAGATGTACTCTTTGACCGCCTTTAGCATTCCTGCCATTTCGTCTCTGGGTTTGGGTTTAAAAATATTATTGGAATTTTTTGTCCGGGAGAATGTGGTCTTTGACGCAAACGATACATTGTAGGTGGTTTAAAAGTTCCCTCTTAATAGAGTATTTTAGCAATTCAGTTAAGTTAGTTAAGGGTAGATCCAGTCGATTAAAGTAACTACAAATGTAAAACGGGCTAGGAGCATTTGAGGTGTGTCATTAATGACTAATTTTGGTAATACACATTATCAAAATATGCATTTAAATGTAGAAAAGATAGAATTGCTTTTGATGATTGAAACTGGCCGGTGTAGTGTGAAATGATGCCAAAATTCGGACCGAAATTTGAGTTGAGCTACAATGCATGTTGGTTCTTTCAGTGGTGTCTTTGGTCTGGTTAGTCGAGTTTAGTGTCTCTCCAGCCATCATCTATTAAAAGAAATAGTAAAGAATCATGGGCTAATTTGCCTATTAACTTGTAAAATCTCTTGAAAGAAAGTATTCTCCTAATTGCATGCATACTGCTGGGGCTAATTGACAATCTCTGCACTGCTACTGATAGTTCACAAATTTTAGTAATTGTGTCGCGCCCACTTTTCTGATAAGGGGTAGGGCAGAGGCAAAAGTAAATAGCTCAAGAAATGTTGCGAAACAATACTAGTTGCGAGCTAGCCTTATTACGTGATGGCGGCCGAGATACTGGTGATATAGGTATCGTGACCTCGGCGTGTGGGTCAGGTCGTTAGGATTTAAAAACATGAGCAGTCGAATGTTTTAGTAGGAACCGACTTAAATGAATTTCGTCACTTTTAGCAATGCGACTCTCCCGCATGAGGTCGCATGCGTTGACCTCACGCCTTTCGATAGATCGCTTGCTGCTAAAGCGGCCATTTACTCTGCGGCTTTTCAATCACCCGTGAACAGCATCAAATCCTCTACCAGGAGCAGCAACGGTGATGATGAGGCGATGGATTCCTCTTGTTCTGGGGATCCACTTGATAACTTAGAGCCTGAATACGTGGCTGTGGGAATGTGGATGGGCTATGGGGTCGCTCTTCTCAAACTCCCATCGCTTGAGGTTGTTTGTACAGAACCTCTACCCACAATGGTCCCCACATCGGGCATTGCCATCTTACCACGCTCCATCACTATTGCGCAGTTTGAAGGACTCGCATATCTCTTTACTGTCACTGGGGATGGTTCTTTGTACTACTATAATCTGGACTGTTCTACAGGTTGGTAGCTTTGCCATAATCTGCATCATTGTTTGAGCAAGCATGTGGGATCACTAGCGCGTACCATGAACTTACGCTTCTACGAGGTCGAAGATAAGCTAGTGTGGGTTGTAACTAAATTAAAGACATCGTAATGCTTCATAATCTCATGTATTAACCGTTAGTGCTGGTGCTTTGTCCTCGATGCTTGCTTATTATTGAACCTGAGTGTAGCAGTTAACCAATATGAGATTATTTTAATTTAACTCATTTTGTATTCCTTTTGGCTCCATTATGAGGTAGTTTGTCGGGTCAAACCATGATCTTTGCGTCTGAATCCTAAAGCTACTCCCTCAAAGTACGAACCTTTCTGTGAGGACGGTAATTTTAGTTTGGTCATTCATGAATGCTAGCGGTTTTGACGTTGCTGAAGGTTGGTTTCGATGGTATCGTTTGGCAAATATGACGAGATGAAGCGACTTTTCGAGAAATAGCTCGATCATGCTTAGCACAATCTGTGTATGGCGTGGCTTTTTTTAGATGCCATTTAGCTGCAGCAAGGGGATTTGTCCGAAACGAAAGGTAGCTCCCAGTTATTGAGACCTTACTTCTAGGTAAACTTTGAAGTCTCGATTTAAAGAAAACACAATGAAGACAGCGGCTTGTGCCGTATTTTCAAATTTTCATTTTGGCGTGTAGTTTAATGCTTAATATTGTCGATTTTCCTCCATTTTCTGTAGAAAACATTGCTATTCGTGAAGCAAAACGCCTAAATGCGGGAACAGGATCTCAAGTGCGTCTTACCCAATGGCGCTCACACGGCAAAAGGAATGTCTTTGTTTGCTCAAACCGCCCTTGCATTATCTACTCCAACCGACATAAACTCGTTTTTTCCAGCGTGAACATAAAGGAGGTCTCCTTTATGTCTCCTCTAAACGGGTCTTACTACAAAGATTGGTAGGTTGGGCTTGTTAAGTTTAGTCAATGCTCACATCGTTAAAATATCCCAATTCATTATTTTCCGTAGTGTTTTCATTCACTGTTTAAATTTCCTTTGCATTGCCACCATAGCATTTGTATGGTGACGCCATCTGGGCTAATAATAGGCTCGGTGGACAATATCCAGAAGTTGCATGTACGTCGGGTCGCTTTAAGCGAATCCCCTCGCCGTCTGGCTCTGCAGTCAGAAACAAATAGCCTTGGTGTGATATCATGTCGTCGTGAGGTCTTTCAAGAAGGCGTTGGGTTCAAACCCATCCGAACTTCTGCCTCTCTGTCCCCCAAGGTGCCCAGGTCTTTCAGTTCCACACCCAAATCTCTCGCTTGTAAGCATTTGATGCATTTTTCCAACGTCCATAAATTTAAACTAATGTTTTTTTTGTCTGCTTATTTTTAGCTTCTTCGAACCCGGAAAAGTGTACCGACATTGAGGCGTCTTCGTTGCTGATCTATAACCAAAGTAATATGGAGCTCCAATACGTCCACACCTTTCATTACAGTCAGATTGTCGTAGAGACAGCTATGAGTATCGGTTCAGTGAATCTGGATGGTGGTTCGGGCGCCCTCTTTGCTGTGGGCACAGCCCTCATTGTCAAAGGAGAGCATGATCCTAAAAAGGGTCGGATTCATCTCCTCCGCTGGAATCCTGCATCTTCAAAATTGGATGTTGTTTTCACCTACGACGTTCCTGGTACCGTTTTTCGGGTCATTGAGTTCAACGGACGCATACTCGCTGCTATCGGGAGTTCGGCAAGTTACTCAAGCAGTTGTTAGATTATACATTTTTGTATTCGATTGCAGTCCTTATTTAGGTCATTTCTGTATAGGTTCGGTTGCTTGAATTTAATGGAGACAATATTCGTCAAGATTCGATCTTCAACGACAACATAATGTCTCTATACTTGCGAACGAAGGGCGATTACGTCCTCATTGGTGATTTGATGCGCTCCTTATGTCTCCTCCTCTACAAACCCAATCGAAGCAATTTCGAGGTGGTGAGTAAAATACTCTGTGCTCGCACTTAGTTTCTGACAAATTCATTCGCTGCATCCAAGTAGCTTTCGAACAGCCACACTGTAGGCACATTCTTCAATGCGATCGAACTATTTGTCAACAATCTGATTCGTTACGTCATATTTGCCAAAAGCTATCTTTGTGCCCAATCTGTACCGATATCAAAGGTTGCTTGTGCACCAACCTAGTCCCGATCAAACTGAATATCCATATCAGTGAACGACCACTATTGTGATATACTTGAACCTACCACGATTGGAATCCTCATTCATGTGCGTGCTAGCAGACACCTTTGAAAGGTTCACTATTGAGATACTGGCTCGCTGAACGTTTCTTAATTGTCTCATAATGAAACTGGGGTCCTATTTGTAATCGCACATTTACTGTTTCAATTTCTACACCTTGGCCTACACAAACAACCCCTTATCAGCGCAAATTGATACGTGCACGCACCCACCATTACTGTTGTCCATTGTCCTGATTCATAATTTCTGCGCCGGACTCGTTCATAACGTGTTCCAGGAATAGTAGGACACGCACGGTACTTACTACTTTGTGTGGTAGTGCCACAACCAAGTCCTATTCTTTGGAGCTCTGGTCGCAAGAATGACCGACTCTGTAGTTGGTCTTGAACGCGTATTCATGATTACAAATAGATCGGGAGACACCATTGTCCACGTTATACAAGTGGAATAGAGATAATCGATGATGAACACTTTCTCTCGGGCGACGCGGACGGAAATATCCATGTGCTGGGACGTAATCTCCCGGGCAACACCGATGAGCCTGTGGTTCCGTCACTTCGTGTCACTGAGACCGCTATCAGTCCTACCCCTCTTCCCGTCCCTGCGCCTACTCCCAAATCAGCTGCTGATGCGACTGACGTCACTGGTTCTGGTGATGCAGCGGATACTGTCTCTACCAGTGCAAGCACTTCGGCTACAGAAACAACGCCAGCACGAGATTCAGAAGAACAACCGGGTGCTCCGTTACAGGCACCAGTCTCACCATCTTGCGGCCTTCCACGATGTTCATCGAATGACGGGAAGGCCTTGGTGGATTGCGCCTATATACATACTGGTGAATCCATAAATGTTTTCGTCAGAGGTGAGTGCTCGCTTTCAGCCAAAAAGTAAAATTGAGTTATTTACTTCCCTCTTTTTTGCGTTTCTACAGGAAACATGAATACCCTAGGTGCAGATAGGTGGTCAGCAATCGGCGAAACGCACAACATGTACGGCTCGGCGCAGGGTTGCTTGGGTCTAGTGGTTCATCTGTCGCCCATTCTCTTCGCTTTTCTCAAGGAGGTGGAGTCGCGATTGGCCCAACTAATTGTACCCGTGGGAAATTTCTCACAGGAATCCTGGCGTTCCTGTAAGGACTGTCTATGGACGGTTAGGGTGGCGCACAATATCATCGATGGGGAGCTGATTGAGAACTTTCTAGATCTGAGTTTGGAAGATAAGAACAAGGTCGTCCAGGGACTGAAGATTCCCGTAAGTGAGGAGGCCTCTTGGGTCTTTAATCCTTGAGTGTTTGTTCCAGAATGTTTGTTTTATCCAATTTAACATTTCAGAATTCATTGAAAGTAGTGAGATTTTTTCTTTTGTAAGACAACCCCTTTTATTAATTTTAATGGAATTGCAGGCTTCGATGGAAGACTTTGGGACGGCGGGGCTGTCAAAGTTTAACGAGAACGTGGAAACCAAGGAATGCACCGTTAATGATCTGATGCGAGTTGTTGAGGAGCTGGCAGCTCTACATTGATTGGGTCCTTTTGCTGTCCATAGATGTCTATTCACTATATCATGTCTCCCTCCTCTTTTTAAATAAATGTGCTATTTTATTAATGCGTTGCTGAGACCAATGAGGGAGAGCAAGTAGTTGTGGAAATAAGAATGAGAGTAGGGCTGAACGTATGTCTCGTGAGTCACTAGAACTTACTGATGTCTAAGGTGGTCACGTTTGTTTGCCTGCTGTCCCAGCCGAAAGCAGAGCACATGCTTGTGACTGCATTTTTTTTTTAAGTAGTAAGGCACTTTCTTTTCCTAATTATTAATGAGAAAGGGTGTAAACGATGACATGGCATAGGTTTTTTGCAAAGTACTAGTTTAGGGAGGAGAAAACAAACTGGATACGTATCGATGTTTCGGTAGCTGCTTGGTCTCGCTGAGGTCTTGGCCCGTTCTAGTCCCGCGTTGCATGCCTCGTTACTAACCATTTTCAGTAGCACTACCTTTGTACAAGCGATAATGTTTCTAAGACTTAGGGTGCTTATTGCTTTTGCTGCAATCTTGAGACTAAGCATCTGTAGTTGCTGGATGAAGGGTCGGATGGCTTCAACCGAATCGATTCAGTGACCCACAGAATGAATATCTCTACTGTACTGGTCATATTGCTACCGTTTTAAGTTATCAACAATGGTAGGTGCCAATCTTGATTATCTGGCAATAGGCTATCTTTCAGGTGGGTACATTTTGGTAGCGAGATATTAGGAGATAAGCAATTCACACCCCAAAGGCAAATCATACTGAAAACAAAGAGGACAGCACTTTCCTGAAATATTTCTAATACATAAACAACAACTCAATACTGGCGGTGGCAGCGTTGGCGGCAGTGGTGTTCTTGTGGTGGCAGAAGAGACGTTCAAATAAAGGCAAACAGAAATAGGGACAAGAGGTGGGACAAACGCTTAGTCGAAAGCAAGAAGCCATCCATTTGGATGGTAGCAGTGGTAGAGAAAAACACCCTAGAGTCTTCTGCGGTAGCAGGAACAGTTCAGGTGGAGGCGAGAACCAACGGCAGTGGAAGAAGAGAAGAAAAACGCGAATTGAACAAAGGAAGGAGGAGGCAGGGTTGAGGACAAAGTAGAGCACGACGACATACGACATGCACAAATAGTGCTCTCTTTCTCTTTCATTATCCTTTTCTTCTTCTTCCTCCTCCTTTTAAGTAGTATATTGTTTTATGCGGACGTAAGCACCGAAAAGAGTTGGAAGGGGTAGAGGTGAGAAGGGAAGTGGGGTGGATAATGAGTTTAAAAAGTCACGATTTCTGCCCTTTGGAGGACATCTACATTATACTGGTTGCACGGTTACCACGGGAGACGCTATTAATCTCCCTGACCACCGAAACGGCGCGGGAACCGGGTCCACCAATGGTCCTCTTAATGGTGATGGTCCTCTCGGCCATGTCAGCACGATGTTCTGCCTCTTCAATCTGTTGCTGGGCTTTGCGATATTTGCTCATGGTCAGCTGAGACACCTCTTCCTACAATACAGGCACAAAGTTCCTACATTAGTAACTCTCTGCACCCTTCTATGCCTTACAACCTAGGTTATGCAATGCACCTGTTCCTCAAGCTGACGTTTGTAGGCCTTCATCTTGATCTGAGTCTTGTCTAGCAGATCTTGAAGCTCCAGGATCATACGTTTGTCATCTTCGCTTTGAGTTTGCAACTCCTTGAATTGACGCTCGTATTTGCGCGCATTGGCGAAAGCCTCCTTAGCGCGACGAATTTCTCCGTCCAGCTCCGCCTCAAGCTCTCTCACCCGATTCTTTTGTTAGAAGAAAAACACTTAGCTTTTATCTTCTTAAAGTGACATAATAAAGGGATATCAAACCTGGAGCTTTTGGACCATACGACGACCCTCACGAGTAGCGAAAGCCTCGGCCTCCTCCAGTTTAACAGTGATCTCACGGATCTCTATCTCGAGTTGCTTGCGCAGAGTCTCAGCACGCTTGTAATTTTCTTGTTCTTGTCGCAGTTCATCAGCCAAGCGAAGTACCTCAGCGTTCAGGCGATCAGCTCTATCTTCAGCAGCCTTCAGAATGCAGATCCATTTTAAGCTAACTACTATTAGGAATTCAGAGCACATTACCACCAAAGATAAGAGGTACCTTGCGTGCGTTGACAGCTTCATCAAGATCGCCCTGCATGACACCAATATCGCCTTCAAGTCGACGTTTGTCATTGGTAAGAGTGTTAACTGATAGGGTGAGCTCCGAGATGCGTCCATTAGCATCGTTGAGCTCAGACTCAGCGTTCTTTCGGGCGCGATCACTGAGTTCCAGTTGGCTGCGAATCTCCTCCACCTCCGACGCGAGGGCAATGCGTTTTCGCTCGCTCGCCTGTAAATTACCTTCTGCAGCTTCACGAGCTCGTCGCTCGTCCTCTAACGCAGCCTGCAGCTCTTGAACCCGCTGGGCCAGGGCTTTGTTCTCGCGGTTAAGGTTAGCGTTCGCCTTATTCGCCACATCTAGTTGCACCTCAAGCTCACTAATTGTTGCCTCGTACTTCTTCTTCAGACGAGACATATCCGACTTGAAGCGAACCTCCATCTCTGAGATAGTGGTGGTCAGTTCCTCAATTGTGCGAGTTGTGCTCTTTCTACAGCATCATCCATGCAACACTTCATAATTTCGATTATAAAAACAAAACCCACGTTCATAAACATCGGTTTTCACGTGCTAGGGGCAGTCGATGGAATCACATCTAACCCCAAGATGAATTTCCTTTTAATGGACTAAATAATGTGGGAAATTACTTTAAAAAATCACGACCACTCCTTTGCCTATATCTACTTACTACAGATCAGTAAAGTGAGTACTTGATGATGGCTGACCTTAGATTCTCCAGTTCCTCATCTTTCTCACGCAGTCGCTGTTCCATCTCAGACTTTAGATGGTTGAGGGCATTCTGTGAGGCAACATACTTCGCCTCTAACTCCTTCAGTGCCTCTTCGGCATCGTGGAGGGCAGAGGCGAGGTTGTCACGCTCTGCCTCCAATTGACTGCGCAGGGCTTCCAGATCGGTCAGTCGGCGATTCGCATCACGCAGGGCCGATTTCGTTTCCTTTAATTGATCTGAGAATGGTTGGAGGGAGAAGAAAAAATAAAATAGCTGATGTTCAATCATTTAATACCAGGTTCATTACAAACTATAGGACCTACCGACCTCGATGGGTTTTTAAGTACCGAACTATGATAGCAATGCTTAGCTCTGCATTTTTGAGGAAATATACTTCAGTTTTTAGGGGAAAAAATGGATAAAATAATCCCCTTTTAGGTAAGACAACCGATCTTTAGTATTTTCGTCCCCAAAAACAAACATTTTAGATAACCATTCTCCTTTGCCCTGACTTTTTGTGGAGGGAAGTGAACACGAATGGATTTAGATGAATCTCACAAAGTTACGCATATTTCACTGTCATGTTTCCCGCTGACTAGTGAACTAGACGTACCACCAAGCTGGCGATTCTCGCGGTCCAGATTGGCAATGCGGTCGGTGAGGTCACCGACCTGTCCTTTCAGGCGCATGTTGTCCGCCTCTAGAGCATTGTTGGCCGAATTAAGAGTGTTGATTTCCACTGTCATCTCGTCTATTCGACGCTGCAGCTCATTGGCCAGATTCTCTGCCTGCTTCGCTCGGTGTGTCAGCTCCCCATTCTCTGCTGCCAACTGTCAAGGGATTTTCAGAACTCTTGTAAGAGGAAACATGTTAACTTCAACATTGCATTTGTAATGTACGCCGGAGAACTATACCGATGAAGGCCTCTAAACTTCCTACTATTTAAAACTTTATTAAAAGCCTTTGCTTAAGTTCTCATTGTCAATTTCCAGAAGGTATAATTTCATTTTGAATGGCGCTACAGAAACCTACCGCCTCATTCTCAGCCTGAAGATCCTTGATCTCAAGAGTCAGCTTAACTTTGGTCTTCTCAAGATTGTTAGCACGAGTGCGTTCATGCTCAGCAATATCCTCCAACTCAGTGATGCGAACAGTCAGCTTGCGTCTACAAAGAGGCAGAGTTGATTATCATTTTCCAGCCATCGTCAATCACCCGGAGAAAGTGAACACAAATTTTGACAAGGGTTAAAGATGAAAAGTACTTACTTGAGCTCTTCAAATTCCTCAGTCTTGGCCATAAGTTCCCTTTCCAGGCGGGTCTTGAGGGCAGCCATATCGGCATTGAATTTGGCAACTTGGTTTCGTAGATTTCCTGCTGCCTCGGCTTCCTCCTCGTAGCGAGCTTGGAGGTTATCATAGTCCATCTGTAGACTTGACAACTGTGTTTGGAGGTTTAGGCGATTCTACAGGACCAACAATAATAGTAGAAATGTGAGGATTGAAAGTTCCTAATTTTGACGTGTAATTCACCACTCACACGTGCATCCTCATCCATGGCGCGTTTAAGGTCGTCCAGCTGGCTTTCAAGAGCAGCCTTAGTTTTGGAGAAAGTGACAACTTGTGCCTCATATTCCTGGTTCGCGCGAACCAGTTCGAAGTTCTCTGCGGCCAAACGCGACTTGGCCGAATTAGCATCAGCCATTTGACGCTGGAGATCATCCGTCAGCGCCTTTAAACGCGTCAGCTGGCTGTCTAAGCCCTCTAGTTTGCTTTCTGCCGAGGCCTAAATCAGAAATGCGTCAGAAGAGGATAAATGAAACAGGATCTGCTTCAATTGCTTGTGTTTGAGTTTCGCTTCCTTGTCTCCACCCTGATCGTTCGGGAAGATGATAGCAAAATGATAACATCAATTAACCAAGAATTAACCAATTAACAATTAACCAATTAACAAGAATTTGACAAAAATGAAGGGAAAGTTACCTTGGCCTTCAGAGCGCCATCTAGTTGACCAAGAACATTGTCGATTTCAAGCATGAGCTGACTTTTGTCCTTCTCCGCCCTAGAAAGTCCCAATTAATAATTTAAACCACTTCCACTCCAGCTATACATTTAAATACATGAGAATTCCATAGTTTCACGCTGGTTATACGTAGTTCTGTTGATGTTACCCATGCTTGTGAAGTAGCGGTTTCTAAATGTTCCAAAATAACTTTGGACTATTCAAAGCATAATCAAATATCTTTCAAATTTATCTTTGATGTTTCTAATAGAGATTTTAGGGGTTTGTCGCCAACCCACTCACCTGCAGGATGTTGGCACACGTTATCCTTACTAAACAACTAGCAATAATAGTAGGGATCTCTGACAAAGAGAGAAAAAAGCATACCTTCCTTTCTGTTTCTGTAGGTTCTCAACTTCGCTGGAAATCTCAGAGATCATGGTGTTATGTTTGCGGCGCAGAGTAGCCTCGGCAGTTTCAAAAGCAGCGTTGGCGTTTTCCAGATCTTTGCGCAGCTTTGATATCTCCATATCCTTACGACGAATAGCATCATTCTGTGGAACATCGAACGGAAAGGAGTCTGGTAAACGTTTTTAAGTGACTTTACACGTCATTCTAAGCAGTAAACCTTTATTACATTGTGGTCGGAACCTTGCTCCGACACCGGTAAAAATTGCCTATATTGAATTGAATTAATAAATAGATTCCATTTCTGTGTTAGCATTCTGTAGTCTCAGCAGAGGAGTCACTGAAACCGATGGGTTTGAAGAGATCTGGAATTCAGGATTCAACAAGAACCAAGAAGCAACCTGATTCATCGCGGAACCTCTTTCTTAATTAAGCTCCCTAAGAATCCAACAAGGGCTGCCCACGACATCCACTTTCTACACTTTCAGGTTACCAAAAACTATCTTCCTAACAAATGCCAGAAGGCCACATTTGCTTCTAGCGATCATTCCAGCCCATGCAGCTAACCAAGTCTCCGCCTTTATGCACGAGTTGCCAGTGCACATAGCACCAAGCGTGTCTTGCTCGAGTGCGACGCCATTGACTAGCCGGCGTACACAGAAATTCACGTTAAACTGAAGTGGAAGTCGCTGAGCCGAATATTAAAAGTAAAAAAGAATACCATCCTATGACAGACACAAACATAAAACCCTGCTTCCGCAAAGTGACAATATTAACTACCGCACTTGACCTAAAGACCTTGGAATTTTACTTATACTAGGATTAAAGAGCGAAATATCTCCACCATAACTTAGCTTAAGATAAACATTTAGTCATATTTTCTTAAAATTTAAAGCCCTTCAGCTCACAGTCTGGGAGGAAGTACCGCTCAATTCGTCGAGACGCTCAGCCATAGTGTCCAGTTGGATGCTCATCTCGTTGGCATTGCGCTCAGCCTATGGAGCAGAAATGCTGCAGTTTAATGGATGCTGTGGACACAAGCGATTAGTCAAAAGACACGATATGTTTGCCAGGGTCTGCCAACATTCATTTATTTGAACAAAATGACCAAGCACATGCAGTTTCTAGGCCAGCTTGTTCAAAGTGCTTACTATGAAGATAGGCAGTCTATCTTGTAAGAATTTAAATGGGTTTAAAGCACACGAAATCAGACCACAGCAAGACCAATAGTGATAACTAAATATCATACCCGGACACGAGCATCGCGTTCAAGATCGAGCAAATCCTCCAATTCTCGTACGCGACTCTTAAAGGAGAAGTGTAGGATAAACTCAGCGAGTCATACAATGAAAACATTACTTTTGATTTTCCTACACAAGCTTGACCCTCGTGCTATTGGATGCTGTACATAAGTTAAATTATTTTGTTCTCTCAAATCGACTAATTTGATCCCATTTTTGAAGTAAACATGTTAACAATTAATGCTTGATGCAACGATGCCTAATCACCGACTAAAAGTTGGGTAGTTATCTGTAATCGCATGCTACTTGACGTGAGTACAAGTTCAGTATCGAAGTCTACGAAGACAAATGATTGCAAATGTATGAATGAAAAGTGCCAGATTTCGTTATTTCGCTTTGAAGCTAGCTAGTTTACAAAATCTCCATAAAGTGTAACACAGATGAGATGAAGTGTGGAAAAATTTCTTACCTCAAGTCGCACAGTGCTTGGGGAAGTCCCGCGTATGATGGTGCGAGAAATCTTGACGTGTGATTCAGACATGTCTTCGTCCCTGATAGGTCCCGTTTTTGTGATGAATCAGCGCAGGCGCGCAACAGATTAGCTGTATGCGTAGAATAGATACGAAAGTCAGAAAACGGACCAAATTCTCAATTTATAGCGACCGCTTAGAAAACTCCTTTTTCTAATCAAAGCAGCCGCAGGAAAAATTCGAAAGCAAAAGTTGGAGAGCGAGAACGAGTCCTGGATGGAGTGTTGTAGTGTGCACGTCTGCCTGTTCGCCCAAACACGTACAGTCTGCCCGTTGGCAGGCCAATACCAGAGTTTATCAGAAATCGCCGTTCCTCTCCCATTGGCCAAATACCCCAAAACACCGCCCGTTCCTCTACAAATCAATAAAACTGCACGCACGATCACACTGCGCAGCGCTGCCGCACGATCCGGCGCGTACAAGCGTGACACCGCGGGGCAATCGATGGGTAGCTCGTCCTCTATTGGTCGCCCAGGGTGTGTGCGCGAAATACCCGAGTGTACACACGTGCACAAACGCATACCCACCCAATGCCGTCACTGTGAAAGTCAGCACCTCGGAGGGATACCCAGCCCCTTAAATGCCATCATTTCTATCCTGAGTGAAGATGGCTCCCAGAAGTGGTCAATCACGAGAGTTGTTTTGAATTGCGGACATTGAAGTGGGTTGTCGGCTGGGCTTCTGACCTCAACGTAAGATGATTGATGCACCAAAGATCACTTATACACTACTTGCCACCTTAAGCATCACCCTGTTTACTCTCCGTTAAATCACAATTACCGTGACTACGGGAATAAGTGTTGCGCTGTTACATTTGGGAACAGGGGATGGTAACTGTTTTACTTCACCCAGGCTTCACTTTTGCTTATGCATCTGTGAACCTCAATCCATGTCTTCTCTCTGCACTAAAGGGCTTTAAAAGACACTTGCTGCTGTTAAATTCGCTTAAAACAGGCCTTTCTTCGACTTGTTAAGGAGGTCACAGAAGCATAAATGCTTGAAATTATTTTAAAGAGGAAATCTTTATGCTAGTAGTGGAACTTATTGTGTGAAATATTGTTAGCGATCAAAGCCGGCGAAAATGTTAAAACAAACCAGCATTTGCGTAGAGAGCGACGTCAACTCAAGTGGGAAGCGTTATGAGGAATTTTTAAGTGGCGTGTAAAATACGCGTTTCCGGTAAGGGAAAGAAAAAGGTTCGACGATTTCGATGGCATTAAAAGTACACCGCATTGAAGGTGGTCTCAAATGATCGGTCTGAAGCTTTGATTACATTCACTTCCTTCGTCTCGCTAAATTAGTGCTTCTCTAGAGACAGTTCAGCAATTTACTCCAATGAGACGAGGCTTCAAAAAGGAACAGTTGTGCAGCAATTTATTGCGAAACATGAAAACCATAGTCATTTCTACGATCTAAATAAGCCAAAGATGTCATGAGATAAGGGAACTCGTTTGAGGTGAGGAACAGCTGATGCATGGATTAACCTGCCAGTTACTGTCATTAGTGCGATGAAGTAAAGTAAGTCCGCTTCTAGGCTGCGTAAACAAGGTTTTAAAAGCACTCTTCAGATGATGTAAATGCGGTAACTTGATTAACTTAAAATAATGAAACTTACTGAAAGGTTAAAATTAGCATTAAGTGCTAGATGGCACTGGAAAAAGAGAGGAGCTTGTTAGAGGATCTGTGTTTGGACAAATCGCCCTCTTCACTACAGGAAGAAGATGTTTAAATACATAATTATCGCGAAAATTAAAATGGAATTAGAAAGACTTAAAGGCAAATGCTTACAAGACCACGTAAGGTAAGGAAAGTTTAAAATGAGCCGGCGATTTATAGGCTATCGGCACGCTAAAGTGACGATATTTTGGGCCCATAAAATAGCCTCTTCTTTGCATTGAAGCCAAAAAAACAATTCCCATAGACGAAGGCCATGCTACATACCTTGTCGACCAAATTATTCAACTGTGATCAGATTCTCTAAAGGCCTTGCCTGCCTTTTAGGAGCTGAATTGACATAATTTATTCCAAATGGTAAGGGCTTTAATAGGGACAGAATTTTCGACTTAAAACTCTGTTCGGCTAAAGACGAACTCACGATTGCACCTACTGGACAGGTCAAACTGTCAACTGCGAAAGAAATCATGGACGTACATTGACCGAGAAAGTGAAACTAACATTGGTCGGCTTTTTGCGTTTAAAATTGTATGCTATGTTATTTTGGCTTTACTGAAAACATAATTGATTTAGCAGAAATTACCGCATGCATAACATCGACTGTGTTGGTACTCTGCTTGCAAGACTTAAAGGATTAATGTTGGAAGGAATGTGCAGGTCATCCGTTTGCCTATCCATAGTCGAGGTAACACTGACTGAATGACACGACAAGACTTACATGGTTTCGGCGACCGACCATTCTCCATCCCTCTCCTTTCCAACCCCGTCT